CGACGACGAACTTTCCAGGAAATTTATTGGGGTTGCTGCCTATTCTGCCTAACACTACTTACGGGTGTTTGGTGTTGTACAAGAGGAAGTTTGGCCAATTGGGACTGCATTGACCAATTCCTAATATATAAGAGGAACCGCGACGAACAATTTCCTGTCGGGAAAAGGAAAGAAAAAGTCAACAACCCTGGCTCCAAGACTACTTTTCCCTTTGCTTGTTGGGAGCAAGGGAGTTTGGACTGCTTCTGCTTCTGCGATAGCAACTTCGATTCCGACGAAGGCTACGACTGCGACGAACCTTGCGATTGGGTTAGCGACGAGAACGATTTCTGCGAGAAGCATTACCACCATCCCCAGTTTCTCGACATCCGCAACATCTCCACTTGCAAACGTTGCGCCGAGGACGAGTACGAGTACGAACCAATTCCAACCCCACCACCAACTTGTCGGATCGCTCAGCCGACTACACCTCAACTGTTCAACGACCTTGACGAATTCCGCCAGAGCCGACTTGGCAATTGGACTTTCAGGACCAGGAGGAGGACTAGGAAGAGGACGAAGGAACTACGCCAGTTACGCTTTACACAACACCCATCACACAGTCACGATGCCTCCCAAGCAGCAGCAGACGTTGGGGTACGTTAAGGACAAACCGAAGGGAGGAGGGAGGCAGACTACGATTGGGTTAGTTGAGTGTAACGGATCGATTGAACGAACACGTTTTTGGAACAGTTTTGGACACAAATTTTGGAACACTTTTGGGACACAATTGTTTTGGGAAACGAATTCGATCTTGGTTGCGCATCACTATAACTACCCTTTTGGAGTCCTCCCCCCAAGCTGAGGTGCCAAACACGCAAAATGCTAACGAGATGACAACGCATACAGTAAGTTCTTCGGCAAGAAAGATGCCCCTTCCTCAGTAGGCGAGAAACAGCAGACAAAACTGTCTTTTGGCACGAAAGCGACGTCGACATCTGCGAAGAAGGAAGAGGAGACCAAAAAGGATGGGAACGGTGAAGATGCGGGACACGAAGAGGTAGAGAAGAAGGTGGAGGAGATGAAGATCAAGGATAAGAGTCCTGCTAAGACGGGGAGGGGAAGGGGAAGGCCGGCTAAGGGGAAGGAGGTTGTCAAAGAGGTGGCTAAGGAAGAGAGCAAAGAGGAGGATGATGAGGATGTGATGGAGGTTGTGGAGGAGGTGGTGGAGGAGACAGGTGAGTTACATCCTTGGAAAAGGGGCGTTAATGGCATGGTGACTAACGACTGAGACGCGAAGCAGACAACAAGAAGAAGAGGTCACGATCGCCGACGACCAAAAGCCCCAAGTCGAAAAAGGCCAAGACGGAGGAGGACACAGAGGATGTTGTTGCGCCTGCCAGCAAGCGGTTGAGGAGAGGTCGCAAGGTGGTTGAAGACGACGAGGATGAGATCATGGAGGATGTCACCGCTTCTTCTGCACCCGTCAAAGAGGAGAAGAGGAAGAAGGCCGCCTCGCCCAAGCCCGCACGAAAAAAGAAGAGCCTATCTCCCGCACCGGTAGAGAAGGCTGATGACGAGGAAGCATCCTCAGCATCCGCATCCGAAATCGAAGCCGAAGAGGAAGAAGAGGCAGACGAGGACGAAAAGACCGAGGCAGTCGCCAAAAAGGCTCGCAAGGTCATCCAGACCACACTCACAACCAAAGTCAAGGACCCCTATCCGGACTGGAAGGCCGGCGAGCCTGTTCCCTATGCCGCCCTCTGCACCACGTTCTCGCTTATTGAGCAGACGCGGAAGAGGTTGCTCATCATGGAGTACTGCTCTCTTTTCCTGCGCCAAGTCCTCCGTCTTACGCCCGACGATCTACTGCCTACCGTTCTGCTCATGATCAACAAGCTTGCGCCGGATTATGCGGGTATCGAGCTGGGTATTGGCGAGTCGCTTATCATGAAGGCTATCGGCGAGACTACGGGCCGCAGTGTCGCTGTTATCAAAAACGACCAGAAGGAGATTGGTGATCTGGGGCTGGTGGCTGTCAAGTCGAGGTCGAAGCAGCCGACTATGTTCAAGCCCAAGCCGTTGACTATTCGCGGTGTGCATAAGGGGCTGATGGATATCGCTACGACTATGACGGGTACGGGCGCCCAGCAGAAGAAGGTGGATGGTATCAAGAAGCTTTTGTCGGCTGCGGACGCGTATTCCACCGGCAAGGTGGACATCACCAAGGACAAGGGCGGGGCAAGTGAAGCCAAGTTCATCGTCCGGTTCCTGGAGGGTAAGCTACGGTTGGGCCTGGCAGAGAAATCCGTCATCGTCTCTCTGGCGCAAGCCATGATCGCGCACGAGTTCGCGCAAAAGGGGAAAGTCCCCAGCGAATCCGACTTCAGCAAAGCCGAGTCCATCCTCAAGACCGTCTACAGCGAGCTGCCCAGCTACGACGTCATCATCCCCGCCATGCTCACCCACGGCATCATGAACCTCCGCGACCACTGCAAGCTGCGCCCGGGTGTGCCGCTCAAGCCCATGCTGGCTAACCCGACAAAAGCTATCACTGAGGTGCTCGACCGCTTCGAGGGCCAGACGTTCACGTGCGAGTACAAGTACGACGGCGAGAGAGCGCAGATTCATTATGTGGCCAAGGACGCGCCCAAGAGCGATGGCGACCTCAGCCACGTCGCCAGCAAGGAGACCGGAAAGGGTGTTGCCGCTATTTTTTCGAGAAACTCGGAGGACTTGTCGCAGAAGTACCCGGATGTGCTGGCTAAGCTGCCGACGTGGGTTAAGGAGAGCACCAAGAGTTTTGTGCTGGACTGCGAGTCCGTGGCGTGGGACACGGTCGAGAAGAAGGTGTTGCCGTTCCAGCAGCTGATGACACGCAAAAAGAAGGATGTCAAGCTGGAGGATGTGAAGGTGAAGGTGTGCGTGTTTGCGTTTGATTTGTTGTATCTGAACGGCCAGGCGGTCGTGGAGAAAAGTCTGAGGGAGAGGAGGGAGTTGTTGCGTGAGGCGTTCAAGCCTGTCGAGGGCGAGTTTGCGTTTGCGACCAGCATGGATGGTCAGGAGCTGGATGAGATTCAGATGTTTCTGGATGAGAGTGTCAAGGCGAGTTGTGAGGGGTTGATGGTTAAGATGTTGGATGGCAAGGAGAGTGGGTATGAGCCGTCTAAGAGGAGTCGGAATTGGTTGAAGGTTTGTTTCTCCCTTATCTCTAGAGACCTTTGGGATGGATGATAAACTGACACAAAAAACAGATCAAAAAAGACTACCTAGCCGGCATAGGCGACTCGCTCGACCTCGTCGTCCTCGGCGCCTACCACGGCAAAGGCAAGCGCACCTCCGTCTTCGGCGCCTTCCTTTTAGCGTGCTACAACCCCAACACCGACACCTACGAAACAGTATGCAACATCGGCACCGGTTTCTCCGACGAAGTCCTGCAGGAACTCCACTCTTCCCTATCCCCCATCATCATCGACCGGCCCAAGCCCTTCTATGCGCACTCCTCGGGCGGGCAGCACCAGCCGGACGTCTGGTTCGAACCGAAGTACGTGTGGGAGGTCAAGACGGCCGATCTGACGCTCAGCCCGAGGTATAAGGCGGGCATGAAGGAGGGCGTGGACCCGAGTGGTGAGAAGGGTATAAGCTTGAGATTTCCGAGGTTTATTAAGGTCAGAGAGGATAAGAAGCCGGATGAGGCGACGACGAGTAGGATGGTTGCCGAGATGTATAGGAAGCAGGAGAGCGTGGGGAAGAGTAAGGGGCCGGCTGTTGATGATGACTTTGAGTATTAGTTAGAGAATGGACTGCAATGGGGTTGGTTGATGGACTTGAGAGTGGCTGTGGTGTGCTATTTCAGTGGACAGACAGGTGCGGAAAAGATCGGGGAATGGGTACCTCTATGGTGTTATGGAATGTCCTGTGTTCATGTTGTGTTCATATTCTGGCCGTGTTGTTGTTACTTGTTCCTCGGGGGTCTTCAATGTCGCCCGCCATGTAAGGCTGTGAGGATATGCAGCCAATTCACTTCGGGTGCGGCGCTGCAATGGAATCAGACGCAAGTTAGACCTGCCAATGTCAACTGTCCTCGTCTCAATGAGTGGACCAAGGTCTACGCCTGCAACTCGAGGATTTGCATGGTTGGGTGATATAACGAGGGATTGTGTGTGGAACAGGTGTTTGAGTTGAGCCTCATCTCAGAATCATGTGGAAATGAAGTGTGTGTGCTTGGTTCAAGCCAGGCCGCTCGCTGCCAAACCGCCCTCATCTCCACGGGTAGCATACATCGCCCACTTTGGTTCGATGATCTCATTTTCTTCCCGCCGCTCCTTCTGAGTTTGTCAGTCACAAGCAACTCGCACCCGAACTAGACCGGTGGATGGCCCACTCCCTGTTGATGAGGAGTTTGGGAAGGTGCAATGTGCGGACTGCAGCTAGGCTGGAGGGGTATCTTATTTGCCCACGGCATCTTTGTGGCGTCCCCTCTTACTACCTCTATACTTTCTCTTCTTTCAATAACCATCCGTCCGTCGCCTTTCCATCGAAAAACCCTCAACGAGCGGCCGTTCCAACCAGTGGTACACACAACATGCGAGTCGATTTCAAGTCGAGCCAAATTGCCCACCTGGCGGTCCAGTCAAGTGGGCCGGAACTTGAAACAACTCAACGAAGTACGAGGTGCGACTTGACTGACTTCAACTTGCTACTTGGCGTGTAGGGCTTCAGGTATGTACAATATATCGACTCCGGTGTACGCAATTGCATGTATCTCGAGGGGGGACAGTACAGTCTGGTAGAAACAATACTGACACAAATCAAGCCGACAAGTCAACCCAAATCACGGGGTCCGGCAAGTCAAAGTTGACCTCCCATTTTCAGGGTAAGTCAATCCAGACCCCCAACTTGATTTGACTTGGCTGGACTTGTGTGTAACACCGAAAGTTCCAACCAGGCTTGCAAGTTCAGCTTTCGTGCCCAACCTGCGACGACAACAGATGGTATAGCCTCCCGAATGGCCATGCACAATGCTGGTGCTCAACGCCAACGAGGCGATTCATCATGGACGTGGCACCATTAACCACCAGTCAATCACCGAGTTCACAAATGTCGATATCGTTGTGTGGTGGGAGGGTGGTGAGGGTGGTAAGGCTACGGGTCTAGAGTGTGGGTTGTGCGCTAGCGCATGTCTTTTTCAGCTTGGGCACACCTCTCATTTGTCTTGAGGTTCGATGTGAGAAGAAAGACTGGTGATAGGTAGGTGTCGAAGTATTTGAGTGGCTGGCGCAGTGGTGCTGATTCTGACAATAGGACTTAGTTCAACAACGACGTCGACGCCTGAAATCTACGCCAATGGGGTTATTAGTCACTCAATGGCCGCCACTGCCACAAGAGAATTAAAAGGCTTGAATGCCCGCAGCTGGCCGCCCTTCCCATGAGACTTGGGGTCATCATAGCCGCTCTTATCTCCATGCGCATTCAGCAACACCCGTCCAGAACCCTCCAACACGATGAGCCCCGAGATATTCGGTCACAGCTTTACCAACTCCTCCGATCCGAACTGGGTTCCAGAACCCGGTACTCGAGGAACTTTCAGCATTCTGTCCGTATGTCTCGTCACGCTCGGCCTCTGCGTGTGGACGGCAATACACTTGAATGTGCCCGAGCACAAGGAACCCGGCTGGAAACAGCTGATGCGGAAAATTGGGTGGCTGGTGTTTAGTTTGTTGAGTCCGGAGATTGTAAGTTCGAGTTTACGTTTTATTCCTCTTCCATGTCTATTTATCGCAAGTGCCTTCCCAAGAACTTATCAACGCAAGCAATACAATACCAGCTCGGTAGGTACGGTTCTTGTGTTGAATCAGGGTCGGATACGGTATCTACCTAGATGCCCTTACAGTAAAATCAGTAGTTTCCCTGTTCTCCCAGGCACATCCCTTGGTTACTTGGTCTCACATTTACATGCCCAAAATAGCTAATCGGGACAGATTGCCTATACGGCCTATCAGCAATATGTGCAGGCTAGGTCGCTCGTCAACACAATGAATAAACAGGACAATGAGCATGACAGTGACTCGTTAAGCGAAAGTGATTCACTCTACCATGATGGCCCGCCGTCTAACAGTAAGGGTTTGATGGACATCCTGGTATCCTGGCTACATCCTGGTATCCTGGCTACCCTGGCTATCACGACGCCGTCAAGGGGACGAAGAGGTAAGCTTCAAGTCAAATGCATGACACATTTGAGCGTTTCTATAGGCTGATCATGGAATTTTACAACAGGATCCTTCTACAATCACAGGTGATACTGTTGAAAAGTGGACCATGGTACATGGGTTCCTGGCAGTGATGGGAGGCATTGCGATTGAGATTAGGGACAGTGATCCTAAAGTCGATGATGCAGACAGGATGATGAATTTCCTCCCAGCCCAGGAATTTACCAGCGTTAAATGGAAACGCAAACGGCTCACCATCAACAAAAGTCAACGGCAACGCACGCGGCTCACGTTGACCCCAAAGGGGTTACAGTTCTTGCAGGAAAATGGCCATGAAATGTTGATTCCTGATCTTTCCGAGAACAGGATCAAAGACAAAAGCAAAGGAAGCGCCCTCGCGAAGACGCTTGTCTGCATCCAAGGTTCGTACTTGGTCCCTTTTCCATTCCCATTTCCAAGCTAACAAGTAGCCGGTTCTTAGCATCCTGGTTTTGTGTCCAATGTCTCACACGATTTGCGCAAGGCTTAGCAATCAGTCTGCTCGAACTCAACACGCTCGGTCATGCAATTTGCACCTTGTTTAATTACGCGCTATGGTGGAATAAACCCCTCGATATCGTCGAGCCTGAAACAGTCTTGATTCACCCCAGCAGAAAGCGCGAAGAACTGGAAAAGGCCAAGCTCATCGCAGCCATGTGCTCTGCGAGCAGGTTGGACAAGGAAGCATCGGAATCGGATCATCTCCACTTCGATGGCGAGATGTTCGCCTTTCCTGTGCACTGTGGCACGAAAGATGGGCCTGATTCCCATGTTGACTTGTCCGGGCGGCCCTTGAGAGAGAAGCGATATAGGCTCAATATGAGGGACATAAACCCTAAAGAGCGCTATAAAACCCGGCAAGGAGTAACTGAAGACACCCACCTCGACGATGAGGACACAATCATTCTTGGACCTTTTTTTGAAACGATGTTCCATGGTGGTATCAATGCGAATATGTGAGTTTCATTCCAGATATTTACTCTGCACTCGTCAAAAATACTCTGCCACAGTCCCGTAATGGTACACTCAGCCAATCCATTGTTCTGTTTTCCAGGGGGTGACTAACAAAAATCTGATTTGTAGCTCTAGACTCTGCCTAAGCGCCAAACAGTCTACTGATCTTCTTGAAATGGTCAGATTATGTCCTCAGAAGGAGCATGTAGTCACCCTTTCTAGGTCGGATGACGGAGGGAACAGTGAACGGGGCGGTATCAAATTACTAGGCTAAATCATACGGGATTCGACCAAAAAGAGACATCCTAGCACATTCCGTTTCAAAGATTCCTCGCCAAATCCCATATCTACAACTCAGATGCCTTATATTATTATTCGATACCCTGACCTCATCAGATGGCAATTAGCCCTCGGATTAGCCCAACATGACCTTTCCACGCCGCCCAAAGATACCTTCACTGACCGGGTTCGCAACCTGCCCCGGTTTCAAGATTACGATCACTACCTCCCACTCTTCATAGGATTTGGAATTGTAGGTCTCATTTACGGTGGACTCCATTGCGTTGCTTGGAACGCGCCCTTCACTACCAGCATCGAACGGATTCTCTGGAGGATTTCGAGCATCACTATAGCCGCAGCAGGTGTCTTGGTTGCTTGCGTGTTTTCTTGGACTAGGCTCCCACCCTTCTGGCAGGGGCCGCGGCTTGTATACCGAACTATCGAGGAATTCGTGGACCGTCTTATTGACTACAGTATTATTCTTTGGGTCTTTGAGATGGAGATGGAACTCTCCGATAGATTGGAGACCTTTCTCCAAAAAAGAACCTTTTACAAAAACAACGAGCTGCTCTGCGCCCTACTGGGTCTTCTGCCCATACTCCCTGGATTCTCACTGTACCTTTCGACAATATTTCTCCTTTACCTTTTCAAAGTCCTCTTCGACATATTCGCGGTTCTATTTGGGGTGCTCTATGTCCTGGCACGCATATACTTGGTCGTTATTTCATTCATCAACCTCGCGCACTTACCCGACTCGGCATATCTGTTGCCTCAGTGGTCTCGGTATGTTCCTCACATTGGATGAAGGCTGGACTTAGCAGAGAAGGACAGGTCGAGGGCAGATCGAGGGCAAAGTTTGGGATATGGTCTTGTTGTATGAAGCATACCAATTCACGTTATGTCACAACCTGGCTGTATAATATATAACGTTTAGTGCTTCTTATACCTACGCCAGCCATAGGTAGCGGTGTACAATGCAGTCATGACTGGAACAACTCTCGACCCATGCTCAGTCAATAGGAATCGACGGACTCTCTTTTGGAGTAGGGAATGGTCATAAGAATAAACCGAACACGTTACGGTCAGTACATTACACCTTAGGTATCCTTTTATCACGCATCCCAGCGTATTTAATATACCTTTTGAACTAATTTCTAGGCAGTTCTTAAAGGGAAGAATCCCTATATGACTCTAGCCGATGTGTTTTCAAATTATTGTGATCCCTATTATAGTTTTGTAACGGCCTTTCCTAGCCAAAGCGAGCCGTATTAGACTGTCTACCTAAGGTAACCTACAACACCGGACTTAACGCCCACTCACTTATCAACGTATCACCACCTCCATCGTCCTAACCCCAAGTGACCGATCAACCTCCTCCATCTGAACCGCTCCCGCCTCCTTCATGTTATCCAAAAACATAACTCCCTTACAAGAAGTAACTCGTTCGTGTACCGTCGTCCCACCACCAACACCCTCTTCAACAACCGGACACAGAAGCAGGAAATCACACCCCACTTCAGTCCGAGCCCGAGACAGCACCGAAGTTTCCATTTCCGCCTTCTTGAAAAGCGCCGCGACTTTGCCCCGAGTTCTCCCGGGTAGTATGTCCAGTAAGCTCGCAGGTGTGGTCTCGGCTGTACCCCGTCCGAAGAGCAACGCAAGCAGGTCGTGAGTGGTTGTGGTTCCCGGTTGATTTTCTGACTCCAGTAAGCTAGGGGGGATATCAACATGATTCCCACCCAGCGAAGCAGGCGAAGTAATTTTCCAGCCGTAATCACTCCATGCTCTACCGACACCGTTGTCACTTTTATTAACGACCTTTACGTCGAAGACCGAGCCTTTGATGATTAGATAACTGGGTATCTTGCCCTGGTCTGATACTTTGAGGATTTCTTGACTGGCTTCTGGCTATTTGAGGAGTTTTTTTTTTTTCGCCTTTTTTCGTGTAAGGGTACCTCTACATGTGTCATTATCTCCGACACCGAACGCAAAGGATGTATACTACAGGGGAGGAACTCATCGCCCTTCTTGCCATTCCGCGCCCATCCTCTGGGGCATTGCATCGGGGAGATAGGAGCGGTGAATAATGCTTTGCACTCGTCGGTACGTTTCCAGCGTTTCCATCCACCAAGCTGGATTTACCGGAACGAACTCTCCCCGAATTTTGGCTACCTTACCTTCACGTGTGCGTTCATTACTGCGGCTGATGTCCTCGCGCTTGATGTTGCGATCCATTCTGGGGCTGATCATTGGTGAATGCATCACGGGGGCTGTGCAGAGACACCCCGAGGACTGCGCATAAGGCGAAGAATTGGGCATTTTCCCTCTTCATGCAGTCTTCACCGCCTTCACCGCTTTTGTTTTCACATTGCATTATCTGAGATATCTTAGATTTTCAATGATGCGACCCTTGAGCCCATTGAGTTATTGCGTTTCCTTTATAATGGGGTGGTATGGCCGGGCACGAGGGAAGTTACCTCTACATTCAGCGGTGGCGCCCACTGCTCTCTTTCTCCCAGAACATCGCCACTTGCGATGCTTTCACTGCTGATTTGGCACAGAGGTACATGAGGAGGCGAGCTAGGAGCTCTATCGAGCTCACATATCTCGACTTCTAGGCCGGCGAGGCCGAACAGTCTTCACCCTCTCCGCTTGTGGCCAAGAAAAGCTACCACATTCATACACCCACTAGACATGGAGCATCATTCCTTGAAATTCCTCATTGTGTGTCATTTCTGATGTCGCTGTTATAAAGATTCGCTAGGTAACACAAAATCTTCGGCCCCTCCTTCATTTTGCCATTGCCAGCTTGCCAAATTCTCGCTAGACGTTTTAACTCTTCGGCTTCATATGAGCATACGAACGTCCCTTCGACCCGAGAGAAGTGTCTAAGCCCGGTAACTGAAACATGGTTGAGGGAAGCCGTGCAGGATCGGCTCAGGTCGGGGCGTTAGATATACATAGGTATGGTATAAGGCCAATTGTGGTAGCCAATGGCGTTGATAGACTGCTCGACTGAGTACCAGCGCCGATTTGCCTGTCAAATATGGAGACATCTTTTCGTCAGCCATGCTTTCCCTTTTCAGGGGAAGGAAGACAATCTGGGATAACGTACCAGACTCGGGTTCTTCAAAACTGTTGGGAATAGCTGTTGCCTGATTTCCGTTAATCGACCCTCTTGATCCCACTCCTTGATCTTGGCCCCCTTATAATAGACGTTGATAGTGACCTTCTCCAGGTTACGCAACCGCAAGAGCTGTTCAAAGCGCGGGCCGCTAAAGTAGTCGTCCCAGTCCGGCTGCTGGGTACCCGCGATCTCTTCAGAAACTGCCACAAGAGGTTGCCCACGCCGCTGCAGGTCCCACCATCTGTCTACGTCGATGGATATCTCGAGCGTCTTGAGCGAGCGCAGGTCCAGGAGCCAGCCCAAACTGAGAATGTTCGGGAGGAGCACGGCTGGGGATCTACGGTTCCCTTGAGCGAGTTGCTCAGGGCCGTTGAGCCGCTGGCTGAGCAGGAGGCAGCGAGTGTGGGAGAAGAGTGTGATTGCGGTGAGAGGGAGTTCCCGACAACTTCTCCTCCCTTCCTCCCATGCGCGTGTTTTCGCGGCGAGTGTTCCATTGTAGCTTGATGTTTTGGGCGTACGTTCTGATGAGGGGGGTTCCTTGAATGAGGGGCGTTACGCTCCTATGGCTGGCTTCAAGCCACTCGGGCGGATGGAAAAGATTTGGACGCCAGTCGTACCACAGGTTGTACTAGGCTCGGGGGAAATACTCCTCAATGACTTCGTTTCAGATACGGCGGGACAGCAATTGCAGTTTGAGGAGTGCTTTTTGCTGAGCCTTGAAGTAGTCGGCGCATTTGAACAAAGCCGGAAAGCCCCTGTTGATCCAATAGTCCTCCTCATTGACGGTCCATGCTTCGCGGTAGATTTGGAGCCTGGACTCGGCAGGGAAGGAGAAAATTTTGGGAGACGCGTAATGCTGCAAATGCCCAAGGATCCGTTCTCATCCCGACAAAACATTGCATCCCGAAGGACAAATCTGGTACACAAACTTCCGGTTAATCATATAGATGGGACGTAGCGCCGTCGAGGACGGACAAGATGCGTTCTTGGATGGAAAAGGAGAGAGCAAGACGTACGTTCCAAGTACCAATTAGTGGGAGAGCTATTAGAACCCGTCTCAATTATCGGAACGACCTGGCAGAGTACCGAAAGATGTTTGTGAGTGGCTACCAAACTGAAATGTCTTGTGTGATGGAGAGAGGAAAAGAATATTGAGATGTAAAGTCGGTGCCAGGAAGCTGATGGTGAGAAAGATGAAGATGTGAACAAGCTGACAAAAAGAAGAAACAGAGGAGGGAATTGGAGGGCGATGGAAAGGGACAGTCAAGTATTTAAAATGAAGGTAGAGAACCGTCCCTGCCTAGTGTGGATGTACAGAGTTTTAGAAAGGAAAGAGCGCCACTACTCCGTTGCCGAGTAGGTGCTCGCGTCACGGGTAAATCTTGCCGACACTGAGGGTCGCCGTAACCATTTTCACCCAAGGACACTGCCAGATTATTTGCATAGTTTTATCAAGAGTTAAGAGGCATCTCCATGGCTTCAGAAGGTGAGTTTTTCTCAAAAGGCAATTCTGTTTAATCGTCAAGTGACTGACACCGGCCAGGGGGTATATGCAGAAGACTTTTTACGTATCTACGCTACAACCAGACTACATAAAGGGAAAAGAAAACCGAGGGACAGCCCGTTAAGAGATCTGGCAAAGGAGGAAGGAAGCGATTAGCATGATGTCCATCAACGAAGACAAGTCCCGCCAAAAGGGAAGTCGTAGGCAACCGGATGACGAACCTCAAACAACTTGGGAAGAGAATCCACGTCTCTGACCGTACCGATATGAACGTCAATCCTGTGCGGCTTGCCTTCCTTCTGCATAATTTATCTTGTTAGCCTAATCTCCGTGATTCATTTGAGAGGAAACCAATCAATGTAATTGGAATCAGCGAATAAAGCGAGCTTCTAGAGAGGTCTGTTTCAAAACCATACTCGAACGTACATTTGCAGCAGGATCCTTCAAGAGACCCTCCTCAAGTATCTCCTTACGGCCCACAGACCTTCCCGAGCCCTTCCATTCATACGGGCGTCTGCAGTAAACCAGGAAGGAGATACGGTCTAGTTTGGGCAGTTTCAGCAGCTCTCGCCATGCCACACTGTCGGGGCCAAAGTATACGGCAGGATCGTTACCCATCCGGCATCTGGTGTCAATGAAGGCAATCTCCAACGTCTGCAGGCTTTTCAAACCAGCGAGCCACGCCAAGGTATCCACTTGGCGCAGTGCTCTTTCTTCCTGCTCAGACATGGCGAGCCGGGCTTCCTCCCGCTCTTTAGCGTCGGGATCGCCCATGTCCCACCAGATGAGCCAGTTCAGCCAGGTACGCCAGGTACTTTCGGTCAGCCAGTGCAAGCGCACGTGCTTGAGATGCTCCGTGAAGAGTCTGGATTGCTTCATGTCTCGCATGGCGGCAAGGACTCGCACATCCCCCCCGCAGCGGTAGATGCCGTCGGCGTAGAGAACGTGGGCCTGCGTCCGAGCAAAATATTCGGGGAGAACCTCGTGTCGTACGAGTCGGCAAACGGAGATTAAAGCATGAATCAGCTTTATATAGTCGCCAACTGGTTTTCCCTCGCGCTGAGCTTCCATGTCATACTCAAAAGGCCTGACGGTTGTCCACGCCTCCTTGTAGATCATCAGTCTGATCTCTGCAGGTAGGCGGAGGAGAAGTGAATACTGTGATTGAGCTTCTATTGATACGAAGTACACGCTGGATGGTTAGCAGGCGAGTGGAAGGGTGCAATAGAGGATAGAGGTATGAACGTACCGGTCTTGCGTTCCGCCACATTCCGGGCGAGCCTTGCAGCTTTGGCCCTTCCCGTCTCGACCATCTTGAAGGAAAGTCGAAACGAGAAAAGGGAGAGGGGTCTTTGGAGGAGGGTAGGCTCGGCAGTAGTGATCTGCTCTGGTGAGTGTCCAGATGGAGACCAAAAGACGGCGATTGGTGACGACGGAAGTTTGGAAAGGGAAGAGAAAAGTGTCGACAGGCTGCAAGAGGTGGGAATTAAATAGGTCTCTGGAAGACGATCAGGTGAATGGGAGATGTAGATGCCGTGCCCAAGGTTGCAGACAGGAAAGAAGAGTGAATGGGAATAACCTCAAGAGCACCAGAGCTCCAGGTTCCAAGGTTCCAAGGCCATGTCGAAAGCTGCCCCAGGCGACCTGTAAACCTGGAGTGTCATATGAGATGGATGGTGTTATATCGATAGGTAGGTAAACAGATGGTATACAAAGATGGGGGAGAACTGGAGATCTGACCACGAGAAGGGCCGCGAGGCCCTTATACCTCTACCTTGAAGTGTTGTGCCCACAAGTGTTTCTTCCTCCTCCTTGTGTTTGGTAGAAACGTACGAAACTTGAGCTGTATAGTTTGGGTTCATGATCTCCGTGGACACCATGCCCAATGTCCAAAGATTGATCACCACTGCATCGAACAAACATGACCATCAACCATCGTAGTGAGCGACACAATTAGCTTGGAACGTGTGAGGGGGCAACAAGTCTTGTAAGGGAGTAAGGTTTGGTAGGTTTCTAACGCTTGCGTGTGTGGGAAGTCTTGTTGAATCTGCAAGTCTTGTTGACCCCACCCCCTAGGAACCAAAAAATAGGGCCTGCAATTGCAGGCTTTCTAGGCTGCTTGGGCTTTCTTTCTTAGGCATCTCTACTTATTACCTCTAGACCTTTGGTTACGAGGAAATAATGGACAACGGAATCAAATGAAAAGTCAAAGGGCAAATGTTACAGCTGGGAATCGAACGGAGAGTCACAGTCACGATAAGAATTAAAAGAAAAGGTCTACGAGAAACTACTTAACCATTTGGCCAAAGGTTTAAGAAAAGATGATGCTCTTTCCTCTTATATAGTTAAATGGTTGTTCCGGGGGAAGGAGCAGGGCGGGTGGTTGAACTTGGCGAATTCCAAGTGGAAGTCCCAACTCCCCAACTCCCCAAGTCCCAATTCCCTAAATCCTAGCTCCAAGTCCCAAGTCCCAACTCCGAAATCCCAATTTCCACTCCCCCAAATCTGTGGGAGTCTTTGAGAGTCATTGGGAATTAATAGGAGTCAATGGGAGTCAATGGGAGTCAATGGGAGTCAATGAGAGCAATAAGAGCAATGAGAGCTATGGGAGCAATGGGCGTAATAATGGGGGACTAATAGGCACCAAAAGCGTTGTAGATAGGGAGCCAGGGCATTGCATACAGCGTAGTGTAGTGAGTCCAGAATATTTTACTTTCATTGGGGGAATAGTTGTGTAGTCTTGTGGTTAAGGATATTAGTGGAAGGGAACAAGACTTCCCGATCCAACAAGACTTCCCACGCTTGGCAAGCCTGAGAAGACTTGGGGCCCCCTTGATTTTCCCACTATGGTAGGCAACCGAATGACGAACCTTAAACTGCCGGGGAAAGAAAAACCTCGGCCGTGACCGCACCGACATTAGTGTCGATTCGACACCGCTTACGTTCCTTCTGCTTGGGTTAAGTCCTGTTAGTCCAGCCTTCCTAATACATGTGAAGGAAAGTAACGAATGTGCTTTGAACAAACGTTTGAAGCGAGCTTTCCAGACAGGTCTGAAAACCACAAATACTTGAACGCACCTTTAGCATCGCAGAAGGACCTTTTAAGAGGCTCGCCTTAAGATCCATTACCTTCTCACGGTCCGAAAGCCTTTCCGGTGAGTTCCAGTTCCATTCTTCGTGGCGGGCGGAGCCGGAGAAGAGTCGTAAGGTGATCCACTCCAGCTTGGGCATTTTCATTAATTTCCGCCATGCCAGAGTGTCGTAGAAGGATACGAAATCATTTTCATGAACAGTCATGACATCGATGAACGTGATCTCCAAAGTCCGTAAGCTTTTCAAACTCGCCAGCCACTTCAGGGTATCCATCTGGCGCAAGACTCTTCTTGGCTGCCCCGCCGTACCCCAAGGCGCGGCCATGGCGAACGGCCCGACAATATCCCTTCGCGCGTTGGCCTTGTCCACCATGTTGTCCCAGGCAGTCCAGCCGCTCCAGTCATTGATGGGTAGCCAGTTCAGGCGTACATGCTGAAGATGCTCTGTGAAAAGGCTGGAGCGTTTGAGGTGCCACATGGAGGCAAGCACTCGCATATCGCTCCTACCGTCGCAGTGGGAGGAGTCGCCGGCGGCGTAGTTGATGTGGGCTTGGCTTCGGAGGAAATATTCGGCGATCACCTCGTATCGCATGTGGCGACAGACGGAGGTTAAGACATGAATTTGCTTCATATGGTCGCTGGCGGGTTGGCCCTCACGCTGAGCGATGATGTCGTACTCCCAAGGCATGGCGGTCGGAGTCCACACATGCTTGTAGATCATCAGCCTGACTTCGACAGGGAGGCGGATGAAGGTCGAATGCTTCGGTTGAGCTTCTATTGACGAGAAGTACACGTTAGATGATTCATGGCGCAATAGAGGGGTGAGCGTACCTGTCAAACCCAGGGCGAGCCTTGTTGTCTTTGCTTTTCTTGTCTCGACCATGTTGGGCGTTTGGAAATTTGGAAGGCAAGAAGTGTCTTTGGGGTTGGCCAGATCTGGGCTACTCGTCCTTATTGGAAGTGGGTGGAAAGGAGGGACAAAGACGGCGAGTGATTGCGAGAGGAGTTTGGGGAAGAAAAACAGACAGGCTGTATGTAGAAGCTTGGAAATAAATAGGTACTTGCAAGATGATCAAGTGAATGGGAAGTGTGGATCCAGTGCCTGAGGCTGGGAGGGCGGGAAACATGAGTGAATGGAGATAGGCACATATGGCCCAAGGTTTTGGAAGGCTGCCTGCCGGCCCGGTGCGCGAAGTTTTGAGAAAAGGAAAAGGGCAGTGAAGGGAATGAGAACACCAGAGCTCACAGCTGCCGAGATTGTTGAAGGCGGCCCCAAGCGGTCCGTCAATGTTGGAGTGTCATATCGGACGAAACCCGACCAGACGGTAACTGAAATCCAGAAAAGTCCACCATGGATTACGGAAATCCATCATCCCAACGTGACCTTACAGACTTGAGCCTGCCGGTGAGAAAGGAGCAAGACAGCTATTTTCCTTTGGTGATCTTTCACCCACAAGATCAAGTGGCAGTATCGTGTTATATAGGATGAGCAGGTGGTATACGTAGCTGGGAACACTCCGAGACCAGACCGCCAAAAAGGAGCCGGAGGCTTTTTAACTTCCTCATCCTCCTCCTTCTCCTTAGTAACAACGCATCAACATTATGATGTGCTTGCAAAGTTTGGGTTCATGATTTCCATAAACACCAAGATGCCCAGAGATTGATCAACATCGAACAAACATACCTATCCAGCAACCATCGTAGTGAGAGACACAATTAGTTGGAACATGTGTGTGAAGCGTAGATTTGTGATTGTCGTAGAAGACTAGCTTCCTTCGCTGTGGTGTGAACGCAATATCAAGCTCCTTCTCTTCTGTTTCCCAAACCCATGACAAGCACAATACCACCCAGCAGCCATGTTGCCCTTTTCAACCCTAGAGGTATCCAAAGTCCAGTATCTCAATCGCCACTCGTAGTACATAGCCCAGCCGAGCGGCACGTTGATTCACTTATCCCCGCAATTCTAATCCTCCGTTCCAATTTTCAAGTGCCATCCCTCCGGCACGTCCTTCTTCAAACGAATCTCATCAGCATCAGGCCAAATATTCGGATCATTCCAGCCCGTGAACCCATCAGGGCTATGCTTCAGCGCCAAGTTCTGCTCAATCGCCTGCGTGATATCCTCAAAATGCCAGACCGACTCATCCCCATTCTTGTGCCTGTCCTTGTACTCAAACAGCATGAAAATACTGTTAGACCCCACCTGCACCGTGTCATAGGGATATCCATTCTCGGCCGTGACGGCAGCCGGCGCAGGGATCACGGTAAAGGTGTGCTGAACCGCATGACGGTCGTTCAAGCAGTCTTCCGTCTGCCACAGGTATCCCATGGCCTGGACGACCTGGACGCCCTGCGAGGGGGAGGTCAGCAGGGCCACGTGGCTCGTGTACTTTTGCGGAAGCGCGATGCCCTGGACGTCAGCGATCTTCATGTTCGTGTCGACCAGCCAGTCGGGCTGCCACTGGCCGAACTCCTGGCCCATGTCCAAGGGGGCGATGAGGCCCTCCGCGTTGTGGGTGAGGAGCCGGTTGAAGTCGTGGACGGCGGCTAGGCCGCGGATGCCCTGATCTAGGTGGTCTGCGTGTTCCAACCACCAGAACTTCACGAACTGGCCGTCGGGGAGGATGCGGATGATGGTGCTACGGTAGGTGCCGGCGACGTAGGTGTTGCCTTGGAAGTCGGTCTCGAGGCCGTAGAAGCCGCCGAATTTGCCGTGGCTGGTTACGGCTTCCAGGTTGACCTTCCAGACAAATGCGTTCTTGTAGACGTCGTACTTGATGACATAGTTGTTGCCCGACACATCGGCTCCGTGGGTCTCCTCCGCGCGGCGGCTGGTGGCGAGAAAGGTCCAGAGGCCCGTGTACCAGTCCCAGTGGACGCTTGAGATGTAGTAATCTGTGTTGTGGGCGATGTCTGGGATCTCGACGACGCGGACGACGTGGTCGTTGTAGGGGTCGTAGACAATTACCTCGGGCGTCACCTGTGAACCAACGAGTAGCACGCAGTTGTTGCCGTCCCAGGCGGCACTGGTTGAGTACAGTTTAGGATGCTTGATGTCGAAGCTCCCCTTGTTGAACTCGGGGCACTCAGGCCAATCCGGCCTTACGAAATCTTTCGGGGGCCAATCCCTCCGCTGTTTTGTCTGTGCATCTTCTGGCAGGCCATTTGACAGGTTTGAAGCCTTCAACCATCCGCCAGTTTCCGAAAGAGGATGTTGTTGAGTCGACACTGCGTACACGCCTAGTGCGGCAGCGGCTGCCAGCACAGGAATGATGAACGTGTCGAGCTTCATTGTTGGAAGTCGAGTTTCGTTGTTGTTGTTGATCGTCTGGTCGTTTGTGATGTGATAAAGTGAACTTTGGGATTGGTAGTCAATGTGGGTAGGTAGGTGATGTTCGGAATGAAGTGGATTGTGTTTGACTGTGAAGGTGTGAAAGGAAAGAAGGGGGGAGAAGAGAGGATAATGGCGAGCGTAGGGAATAAATGCCCACAATCTGCTATCGTGCTGCATTATTTTTCCGTTGGCTATGCCCGATCATGCTTCAACTCGTACTGCTCGCGGGCGTCGGTCCTGTCGGCGTCGGTACGGCGAAGCCTTTTTTTTTTTTTTTTTTTTTTTTTTTTGGCCTCCGGACATGTCGTTATGCATCTTCGGTGATGCAGAAGGTTGCTCCTATAGTTTTCCACATTTTCGCTTCGGACTTAATGCAATAACCTCCATTATACTGCCATAAATCGTGAATTTCTCTGCCGCTGGGTGTTGGCATTGAGGTTGGCAGCAAAACTGAAAAACATCCTTCCCGCTTGAGCCGAATTTACCCCATTTGGACCGGTGTTGATCTGTGAACCGGACGAGGAGAGGAACTGGGCGGAATTCGATATCCCAGACTCTACGAACGACACGCTTTTTTCTTTCTTGTTTTCTTTCTTGTTTTCTTCTTTCTTGTTTTCTTCTTCTTCTTCTTCTTCTTCTTCTTCTTCTTCTTCTTCTTCTTCTGCTCTTTCTTCTTTTTTTTCCTTCTGTTCTTTCTTCTTCTTTTTTTTTTCTTCTGTCGCAGCCAGGGTTCCGAGGTACTGCTTTGCCGAGGACAAGTACTGGTTTGTTATCGAAGCCGAACTGGAGGATGGGCATAGGGTTCGGGTGGTGGCGGCGCCAGTTCTTGATCGGGATGCATGCACAGGCTCGAGTGTTCCTTCAGCTGCGGCTTCTCCACGAAAACATCTGGACCTCCGACCCTTCGGCCACGCATATCATATCACACCGAGCATCCATCCTTCTTCCCCTCCCCCCTCACAACCCGCCCATACCTCCAGTTCCTTACCTCAGAACGAACGACCTCTCTCCAAGCCGGAGCGTCGTCCAACGCAGCCTCCATCATCGCCACCTCACCCGATAAATAAACGCAACCCCTGGGATGACTCCCTGTACGCCACAAACGCCATCAATCCACTGAACCACAATCGCCACGAACATGCCGAAGCAGTCAGTCTTCACCAGACGCTGCGCATTCGATCCCCGTCTCGTCTCGTTCCGTAACCTCTCGATGTAAGTTCGTTCTTCAATCGGAGCGTGAAAGTCCAAGATCTCAGCCGTCTCTGCTAGCACAACCAGATCTTGCGTTCCATCCCCTGAGATGATCTGGGCAATCCGTGCCCGGCGTTCGTTTCCGAAAAGAAGGCGCCGCAGGGAATGCCGTACTTGTCCCGTTCGGAAAACGTAGTAGTGAGAGCCGTTATCTTTGACATGTCCAGAAAGGTCGGTCGGGTCGTTGGCACGGGCGTCGTCGAGTAGTATTGCTCCTCGCAAGGAAGGTGAGAATTCGAAAGAAGCGCAGAGAGTACATGTATAGCGTCGTTCGAATGTTCGGAGTTGTGGGAGTCTCGGCGAGTCTCGGCGAGTCTCGGCAGGTTTCCTTTTTCAATCTTTTGAGCTCTTGGGCATTTCACCTAGCCCAGGAGGCTAAGCCTGTAGGCGGCTCCGGACTGCGAGCCGTTTCCACCCGGTTGGAGGAGATCCAACAGATCGGACACGTCGGTGTCGATCGGTGTGTGACGGCTTCCTAGATAGGCTTAGGGTCCTCGGAGCCCCCCTGGGTGCGGAGTAAGTGGGAGAATCTTGGGGATTTCTTGCGAATTCAAAAAGGATGGCCAGGCCGCAGTTCGTGAAGTTGCTTGCTTTCACATGTAAGTTAGGTAGGTACTTTCATCGCCTCCTTATCTTTCCTCTCAACTCGAATGTTCTACCCGAGAAACGCTTCTCTTTCGAGCATCCCTATGAAAAGGAAGGCCGAGTCGCCTGCGCCTGGGTCTCCTAGTGCCGCGGCGGCCCCCCCTGGCCCATCATCGCCCCATCATCATGCTGGAACAAAGTCCCCGACGACATCTGGCTCCCCTGCGTCTCCTCAAAGCCCCAAGTCCGAATCTGGTGCTCTCCTCGGAGCTCATTGGCTTCAACAAGGACTGCCCGCGGACGACACTGATGCAGACTCAACTCTTGGTGACGAGGTCGAGAGCTCGACCGCTTCCATCTCGTCCAGCATTCTCAACTACCGCAATATCAATGGCCGAACCTATCACAGCGATTCCGTGATGGACGGAGAATACTGGGGTCCCAATGACTCGAAGCACATGGAGATGTTGGACATTTTCTACCATGCCATCGATATGATGCTTGAAGGAAAGCTGCATCAAGCGCCTCTCAGCGCAAACATACAGAACGCCGTGGATATTGGGACGGGTTCGGGATTGTGGGCAATCGACTTCGCCGATAAGTATACCAACTGCTACGTAGTTGGTACCGACATCTCTCCTGTGCAGCCCAGCTGGGTGCCTCCTAACCTCCAGTTCGAGATCGACGATGCCACCAAGGAATGGACCTTTAGGGAAGACCATTTCGATTACATCCATATGCAGTTAATGAACGGCGCTTTCGAAAGCCTTGATCACATATATAGTCAAGCGTTCCAGTGCTGCAAGCCCGGTGGCTGGTTCGAGCACGTTGATGTCTCGGTTATGGTTTCGTCTGACGACGGATCTGTCGAGGAGAATAGTCCGTTGGATCAGTATGGTAAAATGCTCGAGGCAGCTGGTAACCGGGTCAACCGCATGTCCAGGAGCGCCGATTTTACGACGATGGAGGATGCGATGAAGGAGGCAGGCTTTGAGAATATAACGGTCAAGAAGTTCAAGGTAGGTCATTCCCTAGGGGCCATTGTCAAGGGAGAAGCTAACTGAAGTTGAAGATGCCCATCTCGCCCTGGTCTGAGGACCAGAGGATGAAGGAAATTGGCCTTTACGCCTATGCGACGATGATGACCGATGTTGAGGGTATCATAAATCTTATGTTCGGTAGCATCATGGGCTGGTCACAAGAGGAAATTACTGTGTATGCCGCTTATCTGCGTCAGCAGCTCAGGAGGAAGGACGTGCATGGATACTACACCTTGAAGGTTGTTTATGGCCAGAAGCCAGAGTAGGATGAGCAACAGAAGCCAACGGGGAGGAGGGGGGCAGATGGGAGCAAATACGATATACAGTTCACCCCTGGAAAGTTCGTTAGCGTAGAACTTGCGAAGAGCTCTTTCACCACTTTCAGGATGGCTAGGTGGCATTCCTGCTATAAATAGCATCTAGTTTTCGTTATTGCCTACTGTAAGTGGAGTTAAGTTTTGGTGCGATGTGTGTAGGACACTATTGATTGTTGCTCTTACCCTGGCTCTGGCTCGGTCTGGACCAATACAGGTAGGACCGCCGGAATCCCATATCCTCTGCCTTGTCCGAAGACGCTGCAGGTCTCGCGCTAACAAATTTTTAAGGGTTGATCTGTAATGCAGAGATCGGTTGAATGGGGTTGTGTTGTTGATGTCCCGAAATGAGAGCCTGGCTACGGCCTTGGTGATGGTCGTTCGTGTGACATTCCAGCTGAGCAAGATCTGGATTTTTCGTCAGCTTGTGCTTCACAGCGGAGATTGGGTTTTGGTAGGTCGACTTGCCAGGCTTGACGGTGAGGCTGGTTGAGATATCCGCCTAGAAAGGTCCATGTCATCCTCGAGGCTCGAGACAAAGGGAACGTGGGTGGTGGGAGAATGCTTGATTGGCGGCTTGGTTGAAGAAAGGAAGAATGGCTTGAGGTTGATGTTAGCATGTCTCCTTATCGGCTTATCAGTTCGCCTACATTGTGCGCTGAACCCTAACCCTTAGCCTCGGCCCTCTTGGAGGTAATCCCAACGACAACCTCCGTTGAGAATTTGAGACGTTCATCACTCCATGACCACGACGAAGGTAGAGACCGCACGACGAGGAAAACCAGTCAACTGAACTCATGCAACAAGAAAATTCAAATTTGCGTCTAACGGATTGGCTCAAGGTCACCAAACGACAGTCTGGTCGCTGAGAGAGACCAGAAGGGGACGACCTGCATACCTCTATGCACCGACAAACGGTCGGATCGTCATAGTGGACTGTAAGAACGAGGAAGACATTTTGAAATGAAGAGTGAGAAATACGGAAGGCTAAGTGCTCACACGCGTGCTACTTAGAAAACCCATTACCTCCCCCAGAACACCTTGTCGAGAAAACTTCGCAAATTCAACCCTCATCCGCAAAAAAAAAGCTGAGGGAAATGAAGCACCTGAGGATGGCATCAAATCCTATAAGACCGAGGCCACTCGGGATCGATGGCACCGATGTGCTGCTCAAATACGTAGGTCGGCTGTTGCTCTGGCTAAATGACATCAACGCACGAGATTGTGAGTCAGCGTTTGTTTTCAAGGAAGCGGGAGAGAAAGGGAGGGGAACCCCCATCGGGAGAGTACAGCATACCTGTCTGAGGTCCTCCCGCACTGACTCCGAGAGAGTCTCCTTAATCTTCTGAAATCGAGGTGTTCTTTCCCAAATACCCGCATGAACTTCTGGGCTCGGGCACCACCTGTGCGGCCCGAAACAGAGCTTGACGACAATTTTCTCCAGATTGCGCAGGGTTGTGAGTCTCTGAAAGTGTATGGAGCCGAAATAGTCGTCGAGAGCCAACTTCATACTTTGCGGAAACAAATTCTCTTCATGATATTTGGAGATGATAGGAGGCAAATACGAACGGGTTATCAACAGCTCGAGAGTCTTGAGCTGCTTCAGCTGCAACAGCCAATCCAGGGTGCTGGGCATGACGTAAAAACTATCTATATCCCAACGAAGACTGACGTGCTGAGTATAGGACGCAAATAGAAGAGAGGACATGATGTGTTGCATTGCGCAAGGTACATGTAGGTTGACATGGTACCAGAGATAAACTTGAGTTCGGTGAAAGTATTCCGAAAGGACCTCGTCTCGAATCTGTCCGCAGATAGAGACCAGCGCATGAAGTTGTCCGACCTGGAGCTTGAAGTAGGCCATCAAGAAATAGAGATTGGAGCGGCCATTATCCTCTTGTTGGTGAGTCTCCCTAAAATGTCTTTTGGCATCGATGATTGGGATCGTCCACGTGTGGCGGTATATCTCGAGTCGGATCTCAAGCGGGGCAGCGAGGATGGGAGGTTTTGCTTCTGAGGCCATGTTGAGTGCTGTAGCTTTGAGAGGGTCAGCTGCTTGGATTACACGCTGGATAAACGCCAAACCTACCTTTACTGGGCCTTGGTGGTGGCTTTTGCAGCTGCCTCTTCTGAAACGGAGCGAGAGTAGGAGAACTGATGACCGGAGGGAAAAAGGAAGGTGAGAGAGATTGAGGGGGAAGAGGAAGTGGAATTTATTCTCCAGTGGAAGCGGAAGAGGGGAACCAGAAATCAGGGCGGCCCACCTAGAGATACTGGACCGAAATGCTGGTGAGGGGAACAAACAGAACATAGTGGAAGGCACGGACTGCCATGGAACAGAAGGTCGAGATGAAAAAGTGCAGGGCATGCGGTGTATAGTGCTCATAAGGACTCAGACTGCATCAATAAAAAGGGACGGAAGAATGGAAAAGATGGGGTTCACCAGCTCCACGCTCTACATCCGCCCAAACCTGTCCGGTAACGAACGACTCATCCGATTGAAGTGCCATCAACATCCCGTCACCTTCAGAGATTCGGTGCTGGCATAGTCAGACGCCAAATGAAGAAATCCTGAGTCTGTTGGATCAAGGCATAATCCTGTACATCATGACCATCATAGGCAAATTCTTCGATATCAAGATAACCTGCGGGTGTGCCTAGTGACCAATAATTACAGTCCAATACTGGTCTGGCTTGTTTGTTAGCTCGAGACCTCGGGTCAACTTCCCTAGGTCTTTTCATATTTAATTCATATGTTTCGCTCTACAACCAAAGCCTGCTCCATTTTGAATATGCTGATTCCGATGTTGAATATATCATATCAAATTCTTGTTGATGCATTGCCGATCCGTACCTCTACTTAATCATTTCAGTACGTCCTCATAAGGTTTGGGATAGCTCGGTATAGATCCCGTCCAAAATACCAGGAGTACCAAGCTACCTACCTATAACAAAAAAACCAACATTAGATTGCACATCGGTAAAAGTTATCTCCCCATTTTCTACATTACAGGTGGTCAATACTAGAAGCATAGAGGTATTTTGGAATTCTCGAGATGCAAAAGGGTATTTATTGGTACGACGTGTATCTCACTCGTATACGAACCCATTGCCTGTGGTCATCTCGTTCAACCTCGTAAGCATCAACCAAGTCAGATATTCCTTCCTCCATGCCATTTTCCCAAGATCCTGCAACGCCAAAGGACCCCAAAGATACGCCCTTGTGTACCACATATGATGCCAGCTAAAAATCCGACAACAGAAGGCCTGCCCGTAGCCAAAGAGACCCGAAGAAGATAGAACAACTATCACGTCAGATTCTGAATGATCGAGGCCACTCAATGTTGATAGCACCAATGTGTTGCTCAATAACGTAGAGTGGCTGCTGCTCTCCCTATATTAAATCAACGCATCAGAAATTGTTAAGGTAGTCACTGTTCACTACCACACAGAGGAGAAAATGGAACTGGCGAGATACACATACCTGGTTTGGATCCTTACGAAGTATCGTATCCGACACTTCTTTCTTGATTCTCGCAACCCAATTTGGTCTGTTCACTTCAGGTCCCTGTATGTGTCCCACGGTTGGATCGTCGAACAGCGGTTTGAAAACAACCTTCTCCAGATTGCGCAGCCTCAAAAGCTTAGAAAAGCAGTTACGACAGGGTAAAATCCGCGCCAGGCTGGTCCATGTGCCGTATCCGAGCATCCTGAGAGCCTCGAATGTGCGTATGTCTGGATCGGCGATGACAAGTTCGAGGGTTTTGAGCTGGCCCAGTTTCAACAGCCAGTCCAGAGGCGCGTGGTAACCGCTGGTCTCTATGTCCTCAGGGGTCATATCTTTAGGGCAGAAGCACCTCTTCCACAAAAGGCTGACATGCTGGGTATTTTGAGTGAAGAGGGGGGGGCGTATAATGTAGTGGATGGCGTCAAAGTGAGGACGCCCATTGCGAACTTGCGATCGCAGATCAAAACCTCTGCGGTGCGACTCCTGATCCCAGAAATGACCGCGGTGCGACTCATAGTAACCTGAAAGCAGGCGGTGGCGATCAAAGACGTGTCGGTGGTGCGATCGAAGATAGACTTGAGTCCGAGGGAAGTATTCCGCAAGAACTTCGTCCCTCATCTGTTGGCAGATTGAGACCAGGGCGTGGATTTGCCCAAACTGGAGTTTGAAGTAATTCTCGTTCAAGCAGCTGGGAAAATACCGCTCGAGATGCTTATCTGCGTCAATTGGGATCGTCCAAACATAACGGTATATTATGTGTCGAATCTCAAGCGGCGCAGCCAGGAGCGGAGGCTTGGATTCTGAGGCCATGCTGAACAGCTGCGAGAGGGTTAGCAGCTGCGAATACACGCTGGATAAACGCTGTGCATACCGGACCTTTGAGGCGGCTGTCGCGGTTTCCTTCGATGCCGGGCGAGGAGAAGGGGAAGGTCGTGATAACGGAGTGCCGCGCAGGGAAAAGCGCCCTTCAGGTTGTTGAGAGTAAACTGGCGGGGAAGCCTTCGCGTCGCAGGAAGAGGGACCGTAGGAGCAGAGCGCGGGGCAGAGAAAGGGGCGTGCCATAGATTTGTTTGTCCAGTTTTGATGGAGTGTCTGAGGACTAGATCAGACGAATTTCAGTTTGCTGTCAGGTGTGTGACGACTGCTGCCACGCCCTCGAAACTGGCAGGCAACAGCCTGACGCGGAAGAACAGGATATTCAGGTGTCAATATATAGATGATCCTCCGCACACCACTCAGCAAATACGAACCACCTCCTCTCCCTCACTCCCATCAAACAAATTCTCTTCGGGATCATGGCTCGGATATCCATGTGGATAAAACATGCCCACGCGCCTGTAAAGCAATGGGGCCGCCTTTTCCTCTCCTCCTCCTCCTCCTCTTTCAGCACCGCCAACACCATCATCATGCTCTGACTCTACAACCCGCTTAAGAATCAATCCCATTCCTGTGCCGTATTTGTCCGCTTTTTTGCCCTATCCAAGCAGGAGCAAAAGCTTGAGAGAGCCGCACGACTTTGATCCATAAAAGTCTTCATCATCTTGGTCTGCCCCCTCGAGGTTCTCCTCAGTCTGGTATTTATCCCAACGAACTACCACTCCCTCACTCTTGCCTTCCGGTTTCACGCGATACTCGCCCCACCCTGGATACGGACTCCAGACCACGGCGTTTCTGACGTGGCCTTTGACGAGGACGATAGTTCTTGTCTTTTTCTTGTGGGGTTCCGATGTTGGAACTTCTGGTTCGTTCTCTTGTTGTTTTTCCTGTCCTTCCTCCTTATACCCAACAAGCCGCGCCACATATCCCAGAGTGTCTTCCGTGAGATCCCTCCAGTCAATCGCCTTCCCAATCTGAAACTCCTTTGGCCCCTTCCGTTGCCGCCCACGACCACGACGGCGCGCCAGTGTCGGAGGGGAAACGCAGCGCTAGGACTTGCCCGAAGTTCCAGAGGAGGTCCAGTGGCCAGAACTGCTTCCACGTGCCCGAGCTCTGGAGATATGTGAGACCGGTGTGGTCTTTGATGCCTTGGACGACGCCCGCCAGGGCGATGAGCCGGTCGGAGGAGAGGGTTAGCGAGGTGATGGTATAATTGATTAGGATGTCTTGCCAGTATTGGCAGAGTTTGAGGAGCGTTGGGTCGGAAGTTGAATCAGAAAAAGGCGAATCGGCCCCATTTTTGCTCTTCTGCCCTGGGCCGTTAAGAGCATTGATGAGAAACCGGTGCTTTGCCAAGGGTGTGTATGAACTCTCAACCAACATAAAGTTGTTTTTGATCGGATGTGCCTCGGATATTGCGTGGTGCCAACACTCCCAGTAAATCTGTTCGCCCCCGAAATGCAGCAGTATAGGCGGGAGCATGCGTTCCTGGAATCCCCAGCCGCGGTCGAGAAGAGGGATTCGTCCTGGCTCCGGGAAGCGACGTAGAGCTCTGTCCTGAGTGGTTGCGTACACCGTACTTTGCGCGTCGGGCTTGCCAATTCGACAGGGGACAATCTTCAAGGGATTTCTGTCCGCGAAACATTGGTCGATTTGGTAGACTTGGGAGAGTGATGGCCGATGGTCGTCGTGCGTCCGTGGTGGTGATGGGCGTTGTGGTGGTGAACTGGTGATGTTTGGTTGTAAGAGGAAAATTGAGGGACGTCGGAGAATTTCACCTTTTTTTCCCTTTTTCTACCCCTCTTCTCTCCTCTCCCCTCTCCTTCTCCCTCTTGTTCTCCCCACCTTCCTTTTCTCATCCATCGTGCTTTCCTGAAAAGGAAATTCCTCACCATTAGTCAGTGTCTTCCAGCGGGCCGGGAGCTTAGTCATGTTGGTGCATGAGGTGTGCATTCAAGACATACCGTATAATTCTGGGAAACTCAATTTCCAGGTTGCAAGGCACACGCAGGGTTATAGGCCAGCCAGTTGCGTTTGGCGGCTGCCATGAGCATGTACGTGGTTTGTCGGACACCTTTAACCCTGCAACCTGGAAATTGAGTTTCCCAGAATTATACGGTAACTTGTCCATGGACTCAAATGGCATCCATGCATCTGTACAGCAGCCGAATCCCCTTCTCCTCCTCCTCCCTCAGGACCTCCAACACTATTGTACTCGAAATGCCCAAGTGAATCATTATTGGTTTCTAATCCTACAATCAAATCGAGTACCTCTACCTCTCAATCCCGTTTTTGAATCCCCGTCTCATGATATCTCAATTCCAGGACGGACAGGCACCCTAAACAAAGCTCTCGACCCTGCCACTATATCGCTGCATAAAGCTTCTGTCGAACATGCCTTCATGGTGGCCGAGATGTGTAACCAGCACATGATTTTTCCATGGACTGAAATAGCGCCCATGCTTCTGTACCGCAGGGGAGTCGCCTTCTCTCGTCAACTCTTCCCCTTCTCTCCCAGAAAACCATCCAGATATGTTCCTCTAGGAATCAAACTGTGTCCGACAAAGGCCACTCGACTTCAATAGCACCAATGTGGTGCTCAATCTTGTGTGAAACCAATTCCTAAGTGACATCGACGCGTTAGCTGAGCAGTCTCGAACATTTTGAGCGTGAAGAAGAAGAAGGAAACAACCCCCGATAAAGGGGTGGGTAAGGAACAAACATACCTTCCTCTCAGGGATACCCTCCTCCTCCATCGCCGCCAAGTACTCCTTGTACCTAGACGCACATACCTTTCCATCAGGGGCATCCAGATCCTCCTCCTCCTCCATCGCCGCCATGTACGCCAAAAAGCTAGGCCTTTGCCCCCAAAACCACTCCCTCAGCTGCGCCTCATACTCTTCAACAACAACGTCACTGATAAACACCCGAAATAAGATCTTCTCCAGCGTCCTTGGCAACATCAGGAGCTTTGAAGAGCAGTTGTCGCAAGCTACCATATCATCAGTAAGCACAACCTCCACTGTCTTGAGGTTTTCCAACTCTGCCAGCCAGTCCAGGCCGTGAGGCCGGATCGAAATTTGGTATCTCGAGCCCCCAAAGCACAAACAGCCACCCCAGTGGATGCTGACGTGCTGGAGATGGTCGGTAAAAAGCGACGAGGATTGGAGCACCTCGAAGATTTCGTAGTTGGTTAGGGCTAGAGGCGATAATTTGGGAGGACGATGAGCAGGGCCGCGGCACCGGTAGAGAGAGCGAAGGGGTGGGTAAACACTGCCCAGATGGAGTTGGGTCTTGGGCAGAATGCGAGTGAAGTACTCGTCGATAAGTTCCTCGCGGATCTTTCGGCAGGTGATGGCGAGGTTTTGGATAGTGGTGATCATCACGAGTTGTTGGTTGACTTGATCGACATCCTCCGAGTCCGAGTCCGAGTTCGAGTCCGAGTCGCTGTCGGATTGACTGTCGGAGTCATTGTCGGAGTCGCCGTCGGAGTCGCCGTCGGAGTCGCTGTCGAGGTCGGCCGGGAGAGTCCAGATCTCCCGGTAGATCATAAAGCGGATTTCGGCTGGTAGACGGAGGATAGGGAATTTGCTATCAGACATGTTGGATTTTCTCCTGAGAGAGTGTTAGCTGCTTAGAACATATATCGGAATTGCATTCCCCTGCTGAGCTTACCTACTTGGCGACCTATGGGAAGTCCAGGTATGGCGAGGAGGGGTTCTCACAATGAAGCGATGAGGATGGATCGCAAAGATCGATAGAAAGAAAGAGGCGGTTTATAGTGGTCGTCGATTGTAGTGTTTGTTGATACTTTTGGGAAGACGTGACAGGAAGTCTGTAAAGGAGACTGGAGAAATATGGGAGGTAAAAAGTCGACGAGAGATATTCGGTTTGACTTTGAAGTGGTGTTAGGAAAAAGGAAAAATGGAGGCCAGGGCAGCCAGGGCAGCAATAAATACTAACTGGAAGGGAGTGCTGGTGAATTGGAAGCCCAGTGAATAGGTGAAGGAGTGTCGCCACCTTGGCAAAGGTTGAAGAGTGGCAGAAGAGGTCGGGTACCTATTCAAGGTGCCAGGCTTCCAGTTTCGAGGCCAGGTGAAGGCCGTCTCCAGTCCAGGTCTTGTATCATTGGACTTGGAAAGACGAATGTACCAATCCCCTTCACTTTGAAAATACTAAGCGAACCTGTGGCTCGAAGGATATATAGTTGCCGTTGTCATCGCCGTGGTCTTCACTTCTGCTCTAACCTTAGCAGGATTTTCATCCCAACAAATCACCGTGCTATCCTCAACCCGGTCCTTCACTTGCTCCCCTTGACCTGAGCGGTATGATGACACATGTGAGCTACTCAACATTGGCATGATTCTGGATTATGCCTGTCTGGTCCTGGGCGACAATGTTCTGATGCTGACCGACATTGGTTTGGTGCTGAGTAGGTGGTCCTGTGTTTGACTCGGGTGCTGGATGTCATTTTCGGGGTACCGGGCAGAAGCTAATGGGAGGTTGTTAGACTCGGAGTTCAGAGGGACCATGATTTGTCTGCTATTGCCTGCTGGGAGGTAACGTGGTTAGAGGTCGTGTTGATGAGGATAGGCACTTCCTTGGCAATTAGCGATATTGTTGACTTGACTCACATCAAAGAGTACATGAGGGCTGTTGCCAACTTGCTGAAATATTTTGCCACCGTCGACAAGCCTACGGCCCACGAACTCTGCAGTCAGAAGCGAAGGCACCATTCTAATCTTTTTCGAGGCATACTTGACAGCGCTATACTCGCTGGCGCTACCAATTTTCTGACTTTCCTTCTTTCTTCCTACCTATCTTTCTATCTGCAGTGGGCACTCGGTGGAAGCCCCTCCGGGTGGTCCTCGCTACGCTCAAAATTCCTCATCAACGCAAAACCTCCAAAACAATCATTACCCTTACGCCACCCTCCAGTGCTTCCAATGCTCTCCAGTGCTTCCAATGCTGATAATGCTGATGCCGATGATGCTGATGCTTATGATGTTGATGCTGATAATGTTGATGCCGATGATGCTGATGGTGCTGATAATGCTGATGATGTTGATAATGCGGCCAAAATGGTCGAGCTGATGGGAACCAGTCGTAGACATTCTTATGAAGGGTATGGTACTTCAAATCATCTCAGAAAGAGGCCACTCGACATCGGTAGAACCGATGTGATGCTCTATCTTGTACGAAGTTGGTTCCTACAATGATGGCGCACCGAAATGTCAGTTCCCATCCAGCCTTGAGCGCGAAAGAAGGAAAAGGGAATATCCCATAAAGGGGCCAAGGTAGTGCTGGGCAAGAACATACCTGGTTCTTAATCACATTCACATCCTCCACCGCCACCTCATAGCCAATCCTCCTCCTCTGATACTTCGCTTCCTGAACTCTCATCCTATGATACCACTCCGTCACTTCCCACGTCTCTCTGACATAAGGGATGCCAAGCGCGTTAGCAGGATCCTCCCTACCCCACACCTTGAAAACGACCTTTTCAAGAGTCCGGGGCAGCGCCATGAGTCTATCCCAGCAATCACCGCAAATGAACTCAATGATCTCCAGCTCATTGTTCTCCTCACCCCACTCTCCACCAAAATCCTCGCCCTCTTCATGCTCCTGGTCCACAGCCGGGGCCGGCAGCGACCCGTTCCGAGTGAATCGCTGCATGTCATGGTATCGCGACTCAACGAAGACCAGCTCCAGCGTCTTCAGCTGTTTGAGCTGCACGAGCCAATCGAGGCCCGCCTCCTGGATGTCTTCGATGTACCAAGGTGCATGCGAACAGACACAGCCGCCCCATTGGAGGCTGACGTGTTGAATGTTTTGCTTAAAGAATGGGGAGGCCTCGAGTGCTTCCAGGGTTTCAGCTGGCCCCGGGAGGTGATGCTTACGCGGTGCGGAGGCAGAGAGGTGCAGCTGGGTGGTGGGGAGGATGTGGTTCAAGTACTCGTGGAGTACTTCTCCGCGGATTTGGTGACAGGAGGCAGTGAGGGATGTGAGAGTGGAGATCATTTCCGGGATGGGGAGAGTCAAGATCTGGTGGTAGACCATGAGCCTGATCTCGGCGGGCAGACGGAGGATGGGGAATTTGCGTTCCACAGAGAGGGACATGTTGGATGAAGATGAAGAGTGTCAAGTTCGAATGGTTGTTAAAGGTGTATATAAAATTCGCCAAGGGCAAAGATCGTCGAGAAAAAGAGTCGTCGAAGGTAGAAGTCGTCAAGGGAAATATGGTGAGGGTATGTAAAGGTCGTTGAAAGTAAACTCGTTGAAGATAAATACCGACGACGAAAGGAGTGTTGGCGAAGGTAGAAGTTGGCAATAGTTGATATCAGTGAAGGTAGAAGTCGCTGAATGTCGAAGTCGTTGAAGGTAGAAGTTGTTTCGAAGGAAGAAATTTTTGAGGGTAAAGGTCGTTGAAAGTTAAGGTCGTTGAAGGGAAATGTTGGCGAAGGTAGAAATTGTCGAAGGTAAAAGTCGTCGAGGGCAAAGGTGGCTGAAAGTCAAGGTGGCTGAAAGTCAAGGTCGTTGAAGGGAAATGTTGGCGAAGGGAAATGGTGGCGAAGGTAGAAGTTGTCGAAGGAGGAAGTTGTCGATGGTAAAGGTCGTTAGAGGTAGAGGTCGTTGAAGTTTGTAGGAAGATGCGACGCGAAAGCCTGGATAGGAAGACACTGGAGAAATGCTGAAGGTGGCAAGTCGGCGACAGAAAATCGGCTTGACTTTGAAGTTGTTTAAGGGAAGAAGGGGAATTGGACGCCAGGCCAGCCCTAAATACCAGAACGGAGTGCCGGTGAATGGGAAATCCATTAGCAGGGCCAGTGAAGGCCGCCTCCAGTCCAGGTCTAGTATCGGATGACCTTATCGGACAGATGAACCGAGCCCCTTCACCTTGAAATCGCTAGAGGTAGGCGAACCTGTGGCTGGCAGGATGTGTAGAGAGGTACCTAGTTGTCTATGTCATCCCATGTCTTCGAACCTGCTGGCCCCAACTTTATCAAGATCCGCATGTGTCCCAACAAACCACAAGGAGCATGGTCTTCTCAAACCGGTCCTTCACTTGCTCCTCTCGCCCCGACAGTATTCTGACATATACAATAGTGTGTTTTTGATAAGGCCTGTCGCATCGATTCAAGTTTATGTTTGTTGGGTATGTCGTTGTGAATTTGGTCTTGAGTGTCTTGAGTGGGGTTGGCTTTTGTTGTGTTCGTGTTCTTCGTTTCCGTCTGATTCTCCTCCTGCGGCTCCAGTAGTCCAGATGTCTCGAGTCAAAGCCACAACCTGATACCCGACATCTCCTTATCGGGCCGGTTGTTGACGATACGGTTGGGATGTTTCTTCGCGGGCCGTTATTTATCGATCGCTGACGTGGTCGTTAGCCAGGACCTCGCCAGTTGACGCAGTTGATAGGGGAAGAGAATCGGACTCGGACTTGAGCTACATCTGTCACTTGGGGGTTAAAGTATTCCGGTAGGTATCTACCGCGGCTTTGCGTAAACAAAGACCTCAATTTCGCACAAGGTTTTCAGACAAATGGCCAGACGTACCCACCATCGCCTGCTGGGCTTCATCCCTTCCGATCATGTCCTTTATGGCCGTGGCCATCTGGCCAACATAGCTAGACCCTTTACACGCTCGCTTGTAGGAATATCCTCAATCTGCGAGGGTAGCACGCGCCCGGGAGGATGTGTAAGAGACTCCTGACCCCCACGCCCGACCAGGGAGTCTGCATCTGTCATATAGATCCTATTGTGTGCTTGTCCGGCCGGGTGGGCGCCTCGTCTCTCGCAACTTTACGGTAACAGTTGGAGCATGGCTCCAGTCCTGCAACTTGTCGAGCGTCGAGACTGTCCCAAACTCCCTTGGAAAGCTTGTTGTCTGCGGGGCCGACGGGAGAGATCCCTCTGAATGGCTGCATTGGCTTGGTTCTTCCCGTGGAAGGGGAGGGTGGGGAGTCATTAGAGCTATCTGTCGACTGTGAAGATGAGGAAGTGCTGTTCGTAGACCTAGACTGAAAATTAAAACTGATCTCCATGCCATCTATAATCTCCGGTATCTCATCTCTCGGCCTCTTGCGAGTTGACTTGCGTGGTAACTGGGGGGTGTTAGTTGGTCCAGTCTTGTTCAATGAAGCCTCGATGTAGTCCTTGACTTCGTGCCATATCGAAGCCTCGCGGCGTTGGGCAGCAGTGTTGCTGTTGACTTTGGTTGACGATTGGCCAAGCAGTCGATGCAATGCCTGGCATTGCCTTTCTGCTTCCAAACCCTCTTTGAAAGGGGTTGATCCGCGAGAGTAGTAGATGGGTCTGGGGGATTCCGGAGTCTGTGGTTAATGAGTTGGCATATTATCAGGATCGAGTGTAGGTTGAGGAGATAATGCCTGTGGGACAAAAGTGGGTTAGAGGCGGGTTAATGAAGATGACACCAGCGACCTTTTGGATGGCGGTGATCATCTCGAGCTGCTGATTAAATTGATGGAGATCCTCTTGAGTCATTGTCGTCGTCAAGGTGCGAGTCCGAATCGCTGTCAGAGTTGCTGTCAGAGTTGCTGTCCTGGGCGCAAACGCAACTGCCCCAGAGGAGGCTGACATGCTGTATGTTCTGAGTGAGGAGGGAAGATGCCCGGACCCCTTGGAGGATTCTGTGTCTGCTACCCAGGTGGATCTGGGTAGCCGGGAGGATGTTCACGATGTACTCGTGAAGTACCTCGTTGCGGATTTGGTGGCAGGTTGAAGCGAGGGACTCAAGGGCGGTGGTGAGGCCAAGGTCAACGGGTAGAGTCCACATCGCACGGTATACCATGACCCTAATCTCTGCGGGAAGTGAGAGGATAGGGAACTTGCTCTCGCTGGTGAAGCACATCTTGGGTAGGTATTTCTTCTGAGAGAATGTTAGCTGCTTGGATCAAGTCTCCCGTCGGGATTACTTGCTGAGCCTTGAGGTACCGACTTGATGGGTTCTGGAAAGTTAAGCTGACGTGAGTGGTGCTGGATTTTCACGATGAAGCGAGGAAGGGAACGGATCGAAAAGGGATCGATAGATTTGAAGAGATGGTGATGACGTAGCGCGAGCTGGGGTAAAAGGCGTCGACGGTGGAACTGTCGAGGATAAAGATTGTCGAAGGTGAGTAAAGATTGACGGAAGTTAATACTGTCGAATGTATCTATATAGAGGTCGCTAAAAGATCTCCTGGGTGTTGTCCGTGTCCTCGTCGGTAGGGGTGCGGCCGAACTTCCCGAAGTTGATGCGGAACCAGTTTGGTCGTATACATATCGATGGAGGGCGTGACGGGAAAAGAAACGAAGATCAAGACGGAAGAACTGCCATGGTAAGGTATAAGAAAAAGACTTGGAATAAAAAGAAAGAAAGTAGCGAGTAGTAAGAAAATTTTGTCCCCCCCTAAAGGCCAATGAAATGAAAAGAAGAAAAGCAGTAGTAAGAAATATTTCGTCCCCCCCCCCCCTGAAGGCCAACCACTAGCCGGCCAAGCCTACCCATCCACCTTGTAGCCTGCCCAGAAAAATCGTAAAACGCTCTCTCCCTTCCCCCCTTTACCGCCGAAGGCGTGGTGCTTCAGATCCTTTCCGACAAAGGCCACTCGACGTCGATGGCACCAACGTGATACTCGAGTTTGTACTCCTGTGGTTCCTAAAGTGATAACGCATCGCATCGTCAGCCTGGAGCGCGAAAGGGAAAAAAAAGGAATAACCTATAAAGGGGGTAGGGTAGGTAAGGCAGGGCAAGAACATACCTCGCTCTCATCGCCATCCTCATGGTCCTCCTTCACTCTCTTCCAAATCCCAGTCCTCTCATACTGCTCCTCTGCGACTCTCGTCCTCCGATACCACTTTGTGACCTCCCAGGTCTCATCAACGGCAGCAGGGTGAACCTCGTCATCGGGATCCTCACGGCACCACACCCGGAAGATCACCTTCTCGAGAGTCGGCGGCAGCGCCATAAGACCTTCACACCAGCAGAAACTGCAAAAGAATTCCACGAGTTCATGAGCACCACCGTCGTCACTGTCACTCCACTCCGCATCTGCCTCCTCGACCGCCTCCTCGGCCACACCCGGACCTGGCCCCGGCAGCCCTGTCATGCTCGCGCTCGTGAACCGCTGAATGGGGAGATAGAACGGGTCGGTGAACACTATCTCTAAGGTCTTAAGCTGTGGCAGCGCCGTCAGCCAAAAGAGGCAGGCCCTAGGTTCGATTTGTTTTTGAAAACGCGATCCGTCCTCGGAGCACGTGCAGCCTCCCCAGTGGAGGCTGATGTGTTGGATGTTTTGTGTAAGGAAGGAAGACGACTGGAGCTCTTGGAAGATCCGGTGGTTGGTCAACGCCAGAGGTGAAGGCGTAGGCGTCCGGTAGGCGCTGCCTAGGTGGATTTGTGTGAACGGGAGGACGTATGCGACGTATTCATGGACTAATTCGTCGCGGACCTGCCGGCAAGACAAGGCGAGGTTCTTAAGGCTGGTGATTTGATCAAGCTGCTCCGAAGCTTGGTTGGGCTGCTGGTCGTGGAGGTGCTCTTTGGAGGATGTGTTGATGGTGCAGGTGATGGTCAAGATTGCACGGTAAACCATGCATCTGATCTCTGCTGGGAGAGAGAGGAAGGGAAACTTCTGCTACAGTAGTGGCCACCTTCGCGGAGGATACGCCACATTTCCCTCCTGCGCTGGGGACCAGGCCTGTTTTCCAGGCATCCGAGGCACCTGGTTGCGCCTGGGAGATGAACATGCTTCTCGAAAGCTCGGTGGAGCACATGTTGGATGAAGGTGAAGAGTGTCAAGTTCGAATGGTTGTTAAAGGTATATAAAGGTCGCCAAGGGCAAACGATCGTCGAGGATGGAAGTCGTCGAACGTAGATGTCGTCGAGGGTAGTGACCCTCGAAGTTTTAAGTATGCCGGTATCTACCGCGGCTTTGTGTAAGTAAAGGCCTTTATTAGCTATGGCATTCTTGGAACAATGACCGGACGTACCTTTCTGCTTTCAATGAATACTCCGAGAGTTATGACAGAGATGGTTTTCGTGATGGAGTTCTTGTTGATCGTTTGGGTATATATAAAGATTCCGCTTTCCGCGCGCGCTTTGGAAGAAACCAACTCAGCCGTAGCCTACTTCAAGAAAAAATTAGGACAAGGAGTGGGACACTACTTATAAAAGCACTTCAGCACCTCCAGCCTTGACTGCAGCTTGGTTGGATGGATGGTTCAGTGTCACAGTGTGTAGTGTGTAGTGTGTAGTGTGTAGTGTGTAGTGTGTAGTGTGGTGCCTAGTCCTTCCCCTTATTAATACCCCCTTCTCACGCTCTCCTTGGGTTGTCAGCATATGGTTTCCATCCCCAAGCTGCTTGATCAACTGTGATTCTCTTTCAATCCGGCCACAAGCATCACAACAAATTGGCAAGCACAATCAACGGACCTCACAAGCCTCCGTTATACACAGCCGTAGATAACAGTCCCCTAGTCAAATAAGGTATATAATCAGGGCGTCGCTTGTTTGTGAACGTGAATAGACAAATGGTTCGCTTTTTCATACCCAAACAAAGTATAAAGTATAACTATAAAACACCAAACTTTTGATGGATGATATCATGCTCAATGATGATGATGTCCAAACTGCGTGAGAAGCGGTAATAGCATCCCCAAGACAGTAAACATGGTGTCCCTCAGCGGCTTTGGCTGCCTCCTCTGTTGCGAACTGCTTCCATCTGCGTATCCGTTGCTGCTTGAGTGATGATCGTGGGAGTTGCTATCTTCTTGCATGGCGTGCATGGCCACATACCTAGATATCGTTCGTCAGTCAGTCATCAACTTGATCTCTCACGTACTAGAAGGAGGTAGGCAAACTCACAAGAACGTCCCCGCAGAGAACAACAACAACATGCCCGTCCACCACTGTTCACCTCCGCTACCTTCCGTGGCCACCTTTCCACCACTCCCACCTAGGAACAGCTCAACAATACAATACGTCACCAACGCTCCCACAGGCGCCGCCGCGCTAAACACGATCAAGTGCCCCCTCGCTGCCCGCTTCGATAGCCCCTGCCTCAGCAAAACCGACGTCAACCCAAAAGCCGCCGGGGCTTTGTGCACCATGATAGCCACGAAGATGATGAAACCCAGGCGCATATCCTCCGTCGTGGCGCTGGCCCCCATCGCAATGCCGTCGGCCGCGGCGTGGATGACCAGTCCCACCGTCGTTGCGAGCGTGCGAGCTTGTTTCGGTGAGGGGCTGAGGAAGGAAGACAGGAAGCCGTCGGTTTCGGAGGATCCATCACGTCCCTCGAGGACAGACTCGGAAATGGAGGAGGTCTCGAGGTTGTCGAGAGAGATGTGTCGAGTCTGCGGGGTCGAGGAGGAGGACGAAGAGAAGGCGTGTTGGGGGAGGCGGTCGATGAGGAACATGAGGGCGAAGCCGAGGGTCAGGGAGAGACCGATCTGGAATGTCGGAAGGGCGTTCTCGTGGTGGTCGTTATCGTCATCATGCTTTTCGGTGGTGGGGTTGGTGGACTTTTGGAAGCTGGACTTTGTGTCTTCCTTTGGTTCTTCATCCCTCTTCTTGCGGAGGTTCTTGAGGATTTGCTCGGCGGTTACGACCTTATGTGTTTTGATATGGGGAATCTCGTCGCCATTGCCGTTCCTGGCTTCCAGATGGTTTCCTGAGATGTGCCAGTTGACTGTCTGTGACGGGGATCTCCCTCCGACCCCCATGAGACTGCGCCTCGCAGCAGCAGCATTGTGCGAATGCGCCGGCTGGACGGTATTGGTTGTCGCGACCGCTTCAATGCCTTCGGGGATAATGACGATAAGGGATGTGCCGACAAGAATTCCAACACCGATACTGGATATTAATCGTAGCTGGGATTGCGATAGGCTCAGGGATAGGGGGAGTGCGCCGGCGAAGAAGGAACTATTTCGTTGTTCGATGTCAGTTTGCGCCCAACGGCAAAGACAATTGAGGATGGACGTACGCCAAGGCCATGACCACCTGTATGAGAATATGTTAGCTTCCAGCCATGCTTCTGAGGAAATTGGGCAGAGAATAGTGACGTACACAGAGGGCCAAGAGGATGAGCAAGTTGCCCATGTTGGAGGTTGTGAAGCTTGAACCAGACAGGAGCTTGTATAAGGAGGAAGAACTAAGATGTACACCGGTCGTTTGTCTGTAAAGTCATTGGCGCATGGGAATAACGATTTGACCTCAATGCGCGCCGCAAGCTGGAGGAGGTCTGGACGAAAGAGAGCTGTCCAAGAGGGAGGACAATCGAGGTCAGGGATGATGTTGTTCAAAGAAATATTTGGAGTGACACCAAAGAGGAACAACCCGTGAATCAGTGATAAGCAATCAACCAAATTCAGTTAATGAGGGGTCTTTGCTTACCGAACTGTGAAACAATCAAGTCGACATGTCTGGCTTCACAGTCAACTCGCAAGAGCACAGCATCATCTGTCGCTTAAGCCGATATCAAGCTGTTACTATGCGTTTAGCAGTAACAACAGGGGGCCCCAGCCCACGCTAACAACCTTAACCGAGAAGATCGGCAATCGTGGCCCGAGCTTTCAATTAACGATACGCGTTCGCCAACCGCGACTCTTTCCTTTGCGACTTTGACTTCTTGATCAGATCATCTTCCTTTTGGCCAGACAACGAACCTCGCCTTTTGACCAACACATTCACTCGGCGTACCGGAACCTTCTACGAGGCAGCAGCATTACAGTAGTCAAATACACCAAGTCAGAAATACAACCTATTCCAAGCACACAACCACGAAGCCATAAGCGTCCATCCGGCCCCCCGCGCAGCTCCCCCGCCAGATCCCCAGCTTCGCAAACTCCAAATTCATCACCATGAGCGGAGACGACGATTGTAAGCTCCGATACTTTCAGATGCTTGTCTGAAAATGCTGACTTGCGATAACAGGGTGGACTTCTTCTAACGAGGCCGTCCTGGTCTCTCTCGTTACCCCCACCGACGCTGGCGTGAAGACGCTGGATACTTTCCACCCGGAATACACAAACAACATCTTCGGCGAAAAAGAACAGATCTTTGGCTACAAGGGTCTTCGCATCAACCTTCAGTATAATGCTAGCGACATGCTGCCCAACCTCAAGGTATCCTACAAGAAAAAGTACCAGCCCACAGCCGACGAAGAGGCCCTCGACATCAACGACGTCCTATCCGAGTTCCTCCCCGAAGTTGCCTTCCAGAAGCAGTCCGATTTCGAAACCCGGCTCAAGTCCATTCCCGACAACTGGACCCCACCCGGAACCCTCGTCACAAGCTTCAGCAGCAAAGATGGGGAATACGAAGTGTACCGCGGCAAGATCACAGATCCGGCCGTCAGGCAGCTCCTCAACCGTATCCAGATTCTCGTCCCCTTCTTTGTCGACGGAGGCACCCCTATCGATCTCGAGGATCCCGACGCCGACCGATGGACAATCTATTTCCTCTACAACAAGCGTCCTCTCCCCAACCAGCCCGACAAATTCTCCTACCATTTCGCCGGCTACAGTACCCTCTACCGGTACTATGCCTTCCAAGTACCCACCGAGTTCGAATCAAAGACCCCGACCGATACCCCAACCTTCACCCTCGACGGCGACTTCGACCTCGATACCCTCCCCTGCCGCACCCGCATCTCCCAGTTCATTATCATCCCGCCTTTCCAGCAAAAGGGCCTCGGCTCGCGCCTCTACAGCATTATTTACCAGCAATACCTCAAGCACGCGCCTACCGTTGAGTTGACGGTCGAGGACCCCAACGAGGCGTTCGACGACATGCGCGACCTTGCCGACCTCGCATTCCTCGGCAAACAACCCGAGTTCCAAGCGCTCAAGATCGACACCAGCATCGAGATTCCCGAGGAGGGCAGGGCGCCCAACAATATTGTCGACCAAGCAGCCTGGGACGCCTGCCGAAAGAAATTCAAAATTGTACCCCGGCAGTTTGCTCGTGTGCTCGAGATGTACCTGATGTCGCAGCTCCCCGAGAGCGTCCGACCAGGCCTGGGTGCTCCCGAGGATGAGGAAGACGAGGAGGAAAGCGGCCGGAGCAGCAAGAGCAAGGGTAAAAGCAAGGAGAAGGCCCTGCCAAAGCCCACCCCCGAAGACGAGCACACATATCGGTTGTGGATGATGCTCGTCAAGAGGAGGTTATACGTACACAACAGGGACGCGCTGGGCCAGCTGGAGCTTAAGGAGCGCAGGGAGGAGCTGGCCAAGGTTTTTGCCGGTGTGGAGTTTGATTATGCTCGGTTGCTGATCAAGGCCGAGGAGCAGAGCAAGTTGGCTCAAGCTGATGGTGAGACTGCGGACGAGGGCGAGCAGGAAGTGCCGGCTACTCCTTCTGCTGCTAATGGTAAGCGCAAGTTGGACGACGTTGAGCAGACCGAGGGAGATGGAGCTGCTGCGTCGAGCAAGAAGGCTAGGGTCGAGCGGGAGTGAATAGACTAGAGTCTACCTCTCCACCCAAGTCCAAGTCCCAAAAGTACAGGAGGGCTTCACTTTGATGAGCACTGAAAATATGGCATTTTACCCCGTAGGATATGGTGGTGTTTAGAATGCATACATATCCTTACCTAGGTATGCTCGGCTAGGGGTGGATGTCTTGCATCATAGGTTGAAAACAGCATTGTTGGTGCGAGCATCTTTTTTTTTCCGGTATGAATTTGTTTTGTTGTTTATTTGTACATATTGAGGGCGTCTGGCGCCTTTTACGTTATCTATCTATCTTTGACCACCTCAACCCATTCTTTTTGAAGGGTTTGGGGGAAACATTGGCATGAACCTCTATGATGTGCTGTTCACTACCACCCGTCTGTCCGCCTTTAGTGTTTCGGTTTCGAGACTTTTTAGCTTCCTCGTCTAGAGGTAGGCTTTTGTGACCAGAACCGTCTAAACAGCCCTGAATAACAACTTCATCCGAACCTCCCTCCTGGCAGACACCTCACTCTTTATCTCCTACACCCCACCCCTCAATCCCAGATCTAATGCCTAGTCCCATTAACATTCTTCGCCCCCCCTCCCCCCAACAAGCTCGCAACAACAGTCGCCTCCCTAACCGCCCTCGCCACGGCTCCCCTAACCCCGCCTTCCTCCAACACCAACAACCCCCCAATCGTGCACCCGCCCGGTGTACTAACCTTCTCCCTCAAAATCGCCGGATGCTCTCCCTCCAGCACCAAGCCCGCCGCACCCCTCATCGTCTGCGCCGCCATCCTCGTCGCCTCCGCCCTCGGCAACCCCATCGCCACGCCTCCATCCGCCGCCGCCTCCATCATCAGCGCAAAAAACGCCGTGCCGCTGGCACACAGACTGGTGCAGGCGTCCATCAGGTTAGGAGGCAAATAGACCACCTCGCCGATTCTTTCAAAGATCCAGGTGAGCAGCTCGGTGACGCTATCCGGGAGAGGGGGGTCGACGGTGTTGATCACTGTCATCGACTCGCGGATTTTAGAAGCGGTGTTGGGCATCGCGCGGACGACGATGGGTAAATCGTCCGCCGGTAGACCGACGTCCTCGCGCAAAATCTGTTCCAGCTGAGGAACCGTAACGCCGGCGCAGATACTAATGATAATCTTTTGCTTGCGCGCGTGGCCGGAGGTGTGGTTTACGGTGAGGGCATCCTTCATGCCGGGGGCGGAGAGAAGGCCGGAGACCATGTACGGTTTGCACCCCAAAAGGATGATGTCTGCTTCGGCCACGGCGGAGACGTTGGAGGTTGACGGGAGGACGCGGAGGGTGGACACGGAGGGCTTGACGAGGGGGGAGAGCGCGGATTCGACTTTGTGGATAGAGGAGGGGGAGCGCACGGTTGCGATGAAGTGCCGAGGCAGGGCGGGGGGGTTGGTGGGCGGCGGAGAGGGGGAGGCGGCGAGGGTGGTGAGGGAGGTGAGGATGCCGGAGAGGATGGAGATGCCCATTGTTCCTAGGAGGGAGGGGTGGTTAGTATTGGTGGGAGATGTGAGGGGGAGGCCATGAAGGGGAGAGGGTGGGTGAGGAGAGGCAGAGAGGATGGTGGTGACATGACATGTGAATTTGGACTGTAAGAGTGATCGATCACTTACCGCAGCCGAGAACGGCCATGGTGAGCTCGGAGGAGCTCTTTACTTGCGGAGCAGCCATCTTGTGTGAGTGTGTTGTGTGTTGTGAGTGTTTTTGTGGTGATGTTTTGGGCGTGTTGAGTGAGAGGTATGACCGTTGTTATTTATTCTGATTTCCAAACTTGGAAGAGCACAAACAAACGAGTTGGTTGCTGTCGGGGCGATAAGACTTAAAAAAGCCGAAATGTGAAATGTGAAAACGATCTCGATGAGGCCCAAAACGGGAACTTATTCAACGTCGATCCCGAGATGTGATATCACTCTATCGGTCAGTTGTGAGTTTGCCCGCTATAACTCCACTGTGCCGTAGCCGTAAAAAGACCCCACTAGAACCCCGGTATCGCTACGACACAGTACTAAATTGACTAGCGCCTCGTTAACGGGTTCACCGCCTGCTAAATGCGGGTTAGCGTGGTTACCCTTTAGTTCAACGTCCTTTCTTCTCCACGGTTTGTCTTTTTGAGTGTTTGTGATGTTGGCGAGGACAACTCGTCGGGATGCTTCGTGCCTGTCATATTTATGAACGTAGAATCACCGTGTTTCACTTGACATTTCGAAGCCGACTTACATGCAACTGAGTGATTTTTCGAGATTAAAAGCAGGTGCAGATAAGCGTTATGCAAGCGCCTTCTTCAAGCAGGGTAGCAGATGGGAAATACAAGTATATAAACTTCGGGTCATGGTGAACATTTGGAGTAACTCGACGACAATTCACTTACACCCGAACAACAAACCAACCAACTCATATTAATCTCATTCATACAAGGTCCTCCCTCTTTCCCGACTGCATCACCAACATCTCAACCCAATATCAATCAACATCTAAAACCGAAACACCATTAATCACCAAAAAACGCAAAAATGGCCGACCCTTTCGAGGTGCGCATGCGGTTCACGAACCAACTCCGCCAACTAAGTGCCTCCGTGACATCCTCGCAAAAAGCAGCACAGTATGCTCTCCGCCACAAGGACTTGGCCGAGGACTTGCACTCTTGCATTTTAGAGCAGCTTGAGAGGGTATGTTATGTTTTTTTGTCTTCATGTTTGTTCATTCATTCGACCCTTTCGGGACATTGTTATGTCAAACCAACCTCATCCCTTCCCACGGCTCGGCTCGGCTCGTTGGTTCACCTCATCTCAGCTACAGTTTCACTAACAAAAAAAAACGTCCCAGAGCAACCTAAACATGCGAGCCAACATCATGTACTTCATCGAGCACTTTCTCGACATGGCCCACAAAGACGGCCAAGAGGATTACATCCGCATGATGCAGCGGGACATTATTCGTGTGGTCGATGCCGTGGCGCCGGATGACGGGTCGGGGGCGGCTAATGTTAAGGTTGTCCGTAAGGTCTGCTCCTCCCTCCCCCCTTTTGTTTTCCTTTCATCGTCAGCCCCCCCCCCCCACTAACTGCTTCCAGGTCCTCCAAGCCCTCCACGCCAAATCCTTCCTCGACTCCACCATCCTAACCGACATCTTCGAAGTCCTCCGCGAACGGGGCGAATCCTACGTTTATTCCTCCCAGGGGGACCTCGTCCTCTCCCCTTCTGCCAACAACAACAATTCCTCCTCCACCTACGACACCAACATGCCCCCTTCGCAAACCGCCATCCACACCCACGCTAATCCCCATGTTCCCCCTCCCAATCCCCTCCTCACAACCACCTCCAACAACAACAACACCACAACCTTAGCTGGCCCCTCAACCTCCACTTCTTCTACCACCCATCATCACTTCGTAAACAACAAACGCGGCGGAGGCATCAACACGGCCGCCCCCCGCGTCGACAAGAAGCAGGTGGAGCAACGCATCGAAGAGGATCGCGAGCGGCATAAGAGGCTGAGAGAGAATATCTGGGCGGTGCCGAGCGGGGAGGAGATGGATAGACTACTGGAGGAGACGTCGGAGTTGGGGGAGGACGATATGAGGGGGGTGTGGGAGGAGCATGAGGAGTGGGAGAGGAGTTTGCAGGCGGGGATTTCGGGGGGTGGAGGAGGGTGCGGACATGAAACAGCGGGGAATGGCGTAGGGAGTGGGGGGAAAGAAACGAAGAATGGGGGTGGGGATGGGGAGAGGAACGGGAAAGATGGGGTGAAGAACGGGGGGACGGCGGCTAATGGGGAGAGCAGGAATGGCCGTGGGGATAATGCCGATGGAAAAGAAAAGGAAAAGCCAATGTCGATTAGTGGTGAAATTGCCGAGATGACAAGAAGAGGAAAACAACTGCAGCTGGAAAAGGAACAACAGGAGAAAAAGGCGAAGGAGGATAAGGAAAAGCAAGAGAAGGAGGAGGAGGATGTGGAGATGACCTCAGCCTAGGAATCAGAATCAGAGGAAGCGGAATCCAACATGGAGAGGAATCAGTGGCAGCTGCTGCAGGATTTGGAGGAGGAAAGGAAGAAACAGAAAAAAAAGAAGCAGGAGGCCAAGGGGGGGAATCAGGGGGAGAAGAAGCAGGATGTGGAGATGATGACCTCAGCCTAGGAAACAGAGGAAGGGGAATTATTCAGCCTCGAGAGAAGGCAGTTGCAGGTGCTGCGGGGAATAAAGGAGGAAAGGAAGAAGCGGGAGATGAAGAAGGAGGAAAGGAAGAAGAAGGAGAAGCGGGAGAAGAAGAAACAGGAAAAGGAGAAGCGGGAGAAGAAGAAGCAGGAAAACGTTGATAAGACCTCAGTCTAGAGAACGGAAAAAGGGAAATCCGAGACCGAGAGGAAGAAGAAGACGGGTGGATACAAGAGGCGCGCTGGGGAAAAGGTGAGAGAAAGGAGGAAATTGAAGAAGGCAAAGATGAGGTTGATGCGAATGCTGGAGGGGAAGAAGGTTGAACAAGAGGAAGAGGAAGAGGGCGAAGAAACGGAGGGGGAAGTTATATGAAGGCTTAACGTCAATTTGGTGGGAGATCGGGGTGCAGGGTTTATTGTGATACAGATACATCGGTATGCATGGGACGGCGTTCATGTTTTGGCGGTTTCTATATGTATGGTTTCTAAAAGCGAAGTAGGCAGCGTTGAAGTAACGCGTGTTGTTGGCAGAGACTCTTGTTTCGCCGGCAACCCGTTTCTATCCATCCCAGTTCGTAGTATGACATAATGTTACATGTTTCATTGCTTTTGTACACGTACAAGTGGTATATGTTGTTGTGAGAAATGTTGTGTCCGCCCCCCCCCCCCCCCCCCCCCACCTCTCCCCACGAGGATATAATGTAGATGTATGAGACAGGGAAACCGTGTGGCGCATATATATTCCCCCTTCTATATGTTTCCCAAGGGCCCTCGGAGTTCCTTCCATCCGTCATGATCATCGTCATAAAAACATCTTTCCGGCATCTCTGTGTCTGGAAAAGATTTCCTCGTTGGTTCTTCGTTTTTGGGGGGAACGGGGGACCACCATCATCCTACACAACACAGAACACACACACACACACACGGGCGCCTCCACCCACCACACCACACAGAGAGAATAACCATAGCAACCACCCTTTCACTAGGCAGAAGCAGTTTAATCCATGGTGACAGTGGCGCCAAGCTCCTTCATGGCGGCGACGATCTTCTCGGCATCCTCCTTTGGTACCGACTCCTTCATGACCTTGGGCGCGCTCTCGACGAACTTCTTGGACTCTACTAGGGAGAGGCCGAGCAGGTTCTTGACCTCCTTGATGACCTTGGGCTTGGCGGCGGCGTCGAACTTCTCGAGCTTGAGCGTGAACAGGGTCTTCTCGGCGGCGGCGGGGGCGGCCTCCTCCTCCTCAACGGGAGCGGCGGCGGGGGCAGCGGCGGGGGCGGCGGCGGCGAAACCACCAACGGGGAGATCGGGGATGTTGAGGCGGGACTGTTTTGTGTAAGAGAGAGTGTGTGTTAGTTAGTCTGGCATGGATATGTATGTATGTATATAAGTCCGGAGCCGGGCCGGGTCGGGGCGCAATAACCCGGAAGTTTTGAAACATCCTCCGGGTTGTGTCCCGGTTCCCGGCTCCGGTCGTCTCGTGTCTTTAAATCGGGCGTACCTTGAGGCTGGAAACAAGCTCCGAGGTCTCGAGAAGAGTCAGGGTGCTGATCTGGTCAACAATGGCGGCGATCTTGGGGTTGGCGGCAGGGGCGGCGGTGGACTCGAAGCGCTTCTGGACGAGGAGAGAGCTCGAGGCCCGGGTGGATGCGCGGAGCTGGCGGGCGGCGCATTGCGCGGCGAAGCGAACCGAGAGAGACATTGTTGGCTGGTGGGTGTGTGTTGGTGGTGGGTTGTGGAAGGAAGAGGGAGTCGGACTCGGACCGGAGGAGGAGAGAGAGGGCGCGCGGGGCGGTCGGATTGGGTTCTCTTTGGTGAGGAGGCTTGCCGTCGACGTCGACTTCGAGGATCGTACCGAACCGTACAACTAAACGGAGATATTTTTTTGGGGACGTTGTCGCTCGCTCCCGGGTGCCGCGAAATCTGGGACCCACCGCTGGCAGTTGGCAGCTTGGTGGTTTTGGTGTGCGAGTTGAGTTTGTGACGGCTGGCCGACCCGAGCTGCAGCTGGAGGGGAAAACCCAAGCTGCCTGCCCCGCACGAGTCTGGGGATTAGGTACCTCTGTACCTTGAAGCCCACTGAAGACGCGCTAAAAAGATGGGCCCCTGTCATCCCAAACGCGCCCCTGCCGCTGTTCGTCCCACCCGCACTTTGTAGAAAGCGGCTCCCTTGCCTGCCGCAGCCGACTTACATGCGGCTAGCACAGTAGGTAGCACTAGCATGCACCCCACTATCGCTCAATGCGATAAGGAATTTCATGTGGGAAAAAGTTCCAAACGGGACGAAGCGAAGTTCAATGGGCAAAAAAAGTTGGTTAAAAAAAGACACTAACAAAACATCAACGTCTTCAACAACAACGACAACGACGACGACACTCACGACAAACCCGTCCGTCGCTTTTCCCTGGCCAACATGGCCGTGATCGATGTGAGCCAGCAGAGGGCGTCGCTCCTTAGCGATGCGACCACCTTGGACCTCTTGCCGCCAGAGTTGCTGCTCATGATCCAGGATCACCAATCGACCAAATTCCTTGACGCCATCGCCAGCGCCGCCCTTGTCTCGACAGTCACCGACCGCATCTTTGCCCATTTCGAGTCCGTTTTTGCCGACATTTGCGCCCGATGGATCCTGTCTTCTCCGAAACTCGACAGTCGAGTCCTTGCCGCTTTCGCAAGGATATTGCCCTTCGCCCCGTCGCTGTCCGTCTTCCTCGTGTCGCATCTTCGAGGAGGAGCTGGTGGTGGTGACAACAACAACAACAACAACAACAACGACGACGACGATGCCTCTTCAGAACCCAAACCTCTCGATTTCCTTGACCTAGCCTCTATCCGCCCAGATGACCTCCCAATTGTCCTCCTTGCCCTCTGGAGGCTCAACAACTTTGACAAGCGCACCTACGTCGGCCTGTCAAAGCCATCCCAAATACAGACCCTGTTCGCACACGAGAATCCCACCGTCCGATACCTTGCCGTCCGAATTTTCTGCCAGCTTCATAATGCTGCCGATGTCAAGCTTGAAGCCCTCCTCGAAAAGCACATACCAAAAGATACCAGCCTTGTCGCAGAGCTCGACGGCCGCGAAGCCGACTATGCGTTCCTCAGCCTACACGAGGATTCTAGACGTGAAGAGATCCAGAGCTTTCGCAGTAAATCCCAGACTAGTGCTGCCGAGTCAGAAATCACAACCATCCCAGAACAGAACCTCACTCCTCTAGTTGTCAAATATGGAAAGACAGTCCTCCCGCGTCCCCTCGGCCCTGTGACTGCTCCCAGCACCCTCGCCCTTACCCCGACGACCGTTGACAACCTCGAGAACCTTACTGGATGCCTGCAACGACCGGGTCCTATCCTCCTCCATGGCCTTTCTGGTTCCGGCAAGACCTCCCTGGTCCACGAGATTGCGCGCGAGTTGGGCAAGCAGAAGCAACTAGTGACCCTACACCTGAACGAGCAAACCGATGCCAAGATGCTGCTTGGACTATATACCACCGACTCGAAGCCCGGTTCCTTCTCGTGGCGCCCAGGTGTGTTGACCACTGCGGTCAAGGAGGGAAGATGGGTCTTGATTGAGGATCTCGATCGCGCGCCAACAGAAGTCATGAGCACATTGCTGCCCCTTATTGAGCGAGGAGAGCTTCTAATTCCTGGGCGCGGTGAGAGCATACAGGCCACCGAAGGCTTCCGCATATTTGCTACTGTCCGGACGCTGCTCGGCATGAACGACAAGGAGAACCTACCCAGCCTGATCGGTCTGCGCCTCTGGCAGCTTACGCACGTCAAGGCCCTTCCTCAACAAGACTTGAAGGACGTTATCAACAGCAGGTACCCCTTGCTTCACAAATACGTTCCAGGAGTGTTGGCGGTCTTCGATGCGTTGCTGGCGGCCACCAGCGGTTCGACCCGTCTGTCGCTCGGTCGCATGGTCTTCGAGCGGCCACTCGGCACAAGAGATCTCCTCAAGTGGTGCGGGCGCCTAGATGAGATTCTCCGTGCTTCCGGCTGCAAGACCGGCGAGGAGCCTATTACCGACACTACCAGGGATCGCATGTTCCTCGAGGCGGCCGATGTTTTCGTTGGTGGAGTTAAGGAGATTCAAGCGCGTAATATTCTAATTGGTGTCATTGCGAAGGAGATGCATCTTTCTCCCGAGAGGGTTGAGCACTACTTGACGAGCTACATTCCCGACTTGGAGGATAACGAGTCAAGACTCACCATCGGCCGCGTCTCGTTTGCCAAGGGGAGGAAAACCAGCCGTGGGGCCAAGAACAAGAGGCCCTTTGCCACCACCACTCACGCCAAACGGTTGCTGGAGCAGATTGCGGTGGCTGTAAGGCACAAGGAGCCGCTTCTGTTGGTTGGTGAGACGGGTATCGGTAAGACTACCGTGGTTCAGCAGCTGGCGGAATCACTTGGTCACCAACTCGTTGCCGTCAACTTGTCCCAGCAAAGTGAAGCTGGTGACCTTTTGGGTGGCTTCAAGCCTGTCAGCGCACAGACGCTCGCCATGCCTATCAAGGAGGAGTTTGAGGATCTATTTGAGAGGACTGGTGTCTCTGCTGAGAAGAACAAGGCTTATCTGGACGGCATTAACAAGAAGTTCGCCAAGGGCAGGTGGAGAGAGGTCTCGAAGGAGTGGCGCAAGGCTCCCAAGATGTTCGAGCAAATCCTCGCCAAGTTCGAGAGCATGCAAGCAGCCAAGGCCGTAGAGGCAGAGGTTGCGGAGGAGAACCAGGAGCAGGGCCCAGCCAAGCGTCGGAAGACCGAGTCCAGCAAGCTTCAGCGCCTGCGGGATCTCCAGGCTCGCTGGGACTTGTTTTCGCAGAGTCTCGATCAGTTCGATAGACAGGTCGCGGCTGGTCCTGGCGGCTTTGCCTTTGCCTTTGTCGAGGGCAAGATTGTCAAGGCGGCGAGAAACGGTGACTGGGTCCTGCTTGATGAGATCAACTTGGCCTCTCCTGATACCCTGGAAAGCATTGCCGGCTTGTTCCAGACCAATCCCTCTCTTCTGCTCTCGGAAACGGGAGAGATTGAGAGAATCCAGGCGCATCCTAACTTCCGAGTGTTTGGTGCCATGAACCCTGCCACAGATGTGGGCAAGAGAGATCTTCCCATGGGTTTGAGATCTGTGAGTTCGTCCTGTTCCTCTTCGTTCAATGACAGCAGCTAACCAAAGA